ACTGTCAGGACTGTAAGGAAACTTTCGTCTAGACAATATTTATTTCTCTCCATTTTCTAAAGTACTTATAATAGGCCGATGAAAAAAATTATTAAGCGTAATTTTGACAATAAATACAGGTGATGTTATGGAAATTGAATTTTATAGTATTAATTATAAAATCAAAAAATCAATTTCGATGTGAAGCATTACGCCCATCTCATGTTTGGCTGTAACTGTCAGGACTGTAAGGAAACTTTCTTCTAGACAATATTTATTTCTAAACATAATAAGCATAATTTTAACAATTACTACAGGCAATGTTATGGCTATTGTATTTTATAGATTAATACCATAAGACTATAAAATTAAAAAGTTATTTTCGATTGGTTGGTTGCAGTAGCAGGCCATTAGATAACTTCCATGTGGCTCAATTAGCGATTTTTCGCCGTTATGCTACCACATTCCTCACAGGGACCCTAGTATAGAATAGTAGAGACTAAATTTATCCCGTCGAGTTTTGGTAATTTAATCTTCACCGATGAACAGTCTGATAAACTATCAAAGAAGGATTTTCCTAAGAACCTATATCTTCTGGACGCCAAAGTCGGGGATTCACAGAGAAAATGTATTATAGTTTCATTCTCCTGCGGGTTTCCACAACTTCTGCATCTGCATCTCATCTTGGGGAGTAACAGCTTTTATTTATTGTCACAGAAAACGTCATTAATGTTAAATTTTCTTATAATTTAACAACATTTGGTGCCTTCTTGTGTGAGCATCCATATATTTGTTTAATGCACTTAATGGGATTCATTTTCTAGGGTTTCTAAGTTCTAAGACATTCAGGTAACAATAAAGTTTTTTGTTTAAAAATGATATTTAACTTTTTTAAGATTCGAGAATATTCTTTTAAATTTTAGCCAAAAATTTAAATTTTGTATCAAAAACGTTTAATCAAAAAGAAAATTCAACAAAGGTCATACATGTGTTAAGTCCTTTTGAATTTTTTTTAATAAATTTACTCTAATTTTGTTGTTGTTACTTTTAATTGAATGAATAATGAACTCAATGTCATTTGAAATTAAATGCCAAAAAACTGACACCATTCTCACAGAATTGCACTATGAAGCATAAAAGAATGCAATAATTGACCCAGATTTGTGTATGCAACTACTAAAATTGCCTTTAAAATGTAATACTCGCTGTTAGTGGGTGTGTGCATTTACATATATTCGTTGTAATATAAAAGCGCACTCGCATATAAACCACACTCGCTCATATGCATATACCTTCATGTGCGAGTACTAGTACCAAATGTATGCATATGTAACTAACTAATCGTTGTGTGTTAAAAATTGCGGGTTTGTTATACATGCGCACGTTTAGTGGGCCTATTGTGCGATTAGCTCAGCATATTTTGGGTGCTAAATGTGAGTCTACATATATTCACGCCTATCAATATTTTTACTTAAGTATTGTGTACAGAACTAATAGTTGCATTTAGGAACTAGGGACTTTAATACACTTCATAGTAGTCTAAATTAATGACAAAGAAAAGGATAATGCAATTAATTGGGTGTTATAGTATTCATTTTTATCTAATAATTTCTACAAGTTCGGTGAATATATTAATCTGGATAACAAAAATCTGGATAAAAGAAAAGATAAAAACTTCCATTAATACAAAAATAATAAATCTGATTTGTCTTTTGTATGTTTACTACTTTCTTTATGTCTGCGAAAACTTATAATAGTCTGATAAGAAATGGAGTACAGTGTTTTCCAGTCATTCCTATAGACCTATTTTCAAAGTAACTTCTCACAGTAAAACAGTTTACTGTGTGCAGTAATTTTGTGTACTCAATTTTTAATAAAATAGTCAAAAATTTTTATCAAATATTTTGAAGACTTCCTGCCTTGGAACTAGGGTAGAAAAAACGTCTAAGTAGCACACTTCCAAACTACTTAAATATTAAATATTAATTTAAGTTGAATTCTTTTCTTTAACATGTTATATTAATATTATTAACATGTTATTATAAATATGATTTAAGATGACTTAAACATCCAAAATTCATTTGTTAAAAGTATTACTAGGTATCTATGATAGTTGTAATATTAATGAAAAAAAAAAAAATTACTTATAACGTATAACATAATATATGATATATTTGTTGATCTTAATTTGTCTTTTTCTTTTTATTCCAAAGCGTTACAACCTTCCATAGATTAAATGTTTCGCAGTATTTGCTTTATAGGTCTGACTTAATAGCTTTGGACGGAAATAGATTTTAGGTTATATTCGTATTGCTATCCTTTTAGTATTTTATGATTTTAAGTATTTTAGGAATATTTTGCAGGTTTGTAGCACTCATATTCTTGATATACCAAGCTATCTCAAATGTTGCGATCTTGCATTACGTATAACTATCTCTTTGTCGAGCAGCTCTTTAAGGTCAAAGTTAAATCAGCTTTTGTATAAGTCTTAAGCTAAGATCAGATTAAGTATTTTTCATATAATCCGTTTTTAAAATATTACTAGATGTTTGTAGTTAGCAGCACCTTGAAGTCATACCTCACATTCATATATTAGAATAGATCGAATATGTGTTTTATATACATATATACAACTTTGTATTTTTTAAATAAAATAATTTCAATAATTTCAAATATGAAATTTTATTAGGAGATACTATAATATTTTTAATCGCCTATCAATTTTTGTGTCCAGCTAAAATGAAGTAGAACCATCATTATTGAATTAACAAAAGTTTTCTAACGATATGTATCCTCTAGGGGTTTACATCGTTTAATAAATGCCACTTTAGTTGTTACTTTTTATTTTAAGCACCCATTTTTTGGATTGCTTTTATTCTCTTAAACCAATGCTGTCCAAAGCACGGCCCATGGAGGGCCCCGCCTGACATTTGCGGTTTCCAATCTACCAAAACTACACTAATTTTGGTAAAATTGCATTATTTTATTTTTGTATGGTTCTCAAATATATAAATAAAACATTATCACCGTATTTTTATATTTCTTCAAAAAAATTATAAATGTATGTATTTGTTTCTGAGACACTCCAATCTATACAATGATTTGTATTGACTCGATATCGGATCTGAACTGTTCAATAATCGTTACTTTTTTTTGAGAGAATTGACTTCTTTACAGTCGACAGAACTGTTAATAATGCTTGGATTATCTACTAATACAATAAAAACTCTCCAAACACTAATATTAAACAAACTGAAGTGATGTCCTCAAGAAACCTGCTTAGAGAGTTATAATTATGAGGACTATCAGCTCAAAATTAACATTTACCAACAATTGCTTACCTTAGGGATTTTTATAGCAAAAAATACGAGAATTTTAATTAATTTTTTTATCATAATAAATGGTTTAATAATATTAAGAACATTACACTTTTGTGTGACTTTATTAATAGAAAAATAAAATATATTATCAATAAGATTAATGAAGAATGAAAACAAAATAGGTTTGTGGTACTTAAAAGCACACAAAATATTTTTAAAGTTAAAACAATTAATGTAAGTCTTTTCTTTATTTAAAGGCATAAAAATCCTTAACGAAAATATTAACAACCATCTAACACTAAAATGGTTTGTTCAAATGTATCTTCATATCTTATAACAATTCTATATATGAAATAGTAAACAATTAGACAATAGAACTACCATAGTTTTTATATTACTTGAATTATAATAGTGCAAGCAGAACACTTTAATAAGCTTTAATAAAGCACTAAAAATTATTTTCTATAAAGACAATTCTACATTTGATTACAAAACCCAAGAATATTAGTTTTATGAACTCTGATACAGTGTAGACAATTTTATATATAGTTTAGAAGAGGAGAGGTTATGTGCGTAGGTGTTTGACCCAGATCATAAGTTCAAAGATGAAAACAAAAAAATTATTACCGAAGACTTGGATGCAATATAGGCAATAAATATCTCCGAATGGGAGTGTTGAAATTGACATATGAATATGTGCTCTCGCAATCATCCAACTGAAACGCATTAAATATACTCTGAAGCACTGTAGTATAATCCAAGATATGAAGCTCAAAATACGAAACTCTCATGAAGGAATTTTTAATGAAGGTTTTATTTTGCTGTTATGTAAGTCTTCAAAACTCATATGCAATATATTAAATGTAAAAGTTTTTGTGGTAAAATATACAATAAATCCTAATCATCGTCATTACATCATCACTAGTTCAATACTTTGCAGCCCCAATAATGTTGGATGTATGCCTAAACATACATTGAGTGTAGTTAAACTAAAACTTAATAGGGAGTTCTACTGTTTTTTTAATTATAATTTTACTACCATAATCTTTGCAGTGTTCCATAAATAATTTAAGAATACTAAGGGGTAGTCGTCAATATAGGAATTGTCCGCAAACGTTGCTGCAAACGTTGCAGTCCAAATAAATTATATACGGAGTATAAATCAATCCGAATATTTCTTAGGAACACTGATGATGAGTACGTGACAATACTCGTAACATCGTTGTATGGTCAGTCAATTTTCAATAAATTAACTTAAATTTTTGTTGTTATCTCTTCATTTCTATTCGAACTCTACTAACTTTTAAATAGTTTCTTTTCATCATAAGAGTCGGCGAAAACTTTTAACATTAAATAACTAATGAATATTCTTGCAATAATATATTGAGATATTGCAGTTTGTATTGATTTTTTATTGATATATATATATTTTTTTTCATACTCTCTCTCTCTCTCTCTTTCTCTCTCTCTCTCTCTCTAACAAATTTGTTGCTAATTTACACAATGTAAAAGTATTCATGATGATTAACATTTCTATTTAAAATTGACCAGAGAGTCTTCTAAGAATCTCCAATTCTTAATTTAATACGATAAAAACCTGAAATATTGAAAAAAACATTAATAATTATTGTTTATTAACATATTTGCAGTACGGCTTTCATCAGATGAAAAATTTTATATTTTATCTATTTTTTATTTCAGACGAAGGAAAAAAATTGCACTTTGTCAGTCCGGCACGTCGAAAATCTGTACTGGCTCCCATTTTAAATAAAATCAAGAATGGTACAGATGTGGATGGCAGTGAAAAAAAGAATGGCGCCTTTGATAGCAATGGACATGTTACTGTTCAAATAGAACCGGCTAAAAAGGTCAAGGTAAATGGAAGAGTACACGTCTCCGCAAAATTAAAAAATATTTATTTATTTATGAATGTAAATGGCAGAGTGTGTGCAGGCGGCTTTGCGTATGGGAATTAACAATGATTGTACTTTGTACATAACAATTAATTTAACACTAATTGAAAAATTTGTTTTTATTAAAAGTTGTAGAAAAAATATAAAGAAATAAATATTAATTTTTTTTTTAAATTTTTTATTCACACTGGTACATATGTGGTTTTCTTTATAGAGACATAGCATACACGGCATGATGGAGGAGGAGAATATTATAAGACCGCATCAAGAGATACGACAGTTGACCTTAGAAGAAAAGAAGTTTTTGTTGGCTGTTGAACGTGGTGATATGGCCGGTACAAGAAGGTAACTAGTAATTAATTTTTTTTCCTATACATATGTATATATATTTAATTTATATTTTATTTATATAGAATGTTACAAAAAGCTCAGGATACCGATTATATCAATGTGAATTGTGTTGATCCACTTGGTCGTACTGCACTGCTCATGGCCATTGATAATGAAAATTTAGAAATGGTAGAGCTCTTAATTAACTATAATGTTGACACAAAGGACGCACTGTTACATTCAATATCAGAAGAGTTTGTTGAAGCTGTGGAAGTTCTTTTGGATCATGAAAATATAACATTTCAAAGTGAGGGAAATCATGTAAGTATACACTCGGTGCACAATATAATGTGTAACTATTATAAAAAAAAAGTGTTCTCCTTCTACTGTAATAAGTTATAAAAATAACAATTAAAATATTAATTTATTTTATTCTCAAAAAGTAAAGTGGGTTTTCATTTGTTCGTATATAGTATGGTATATACGAGTATACTGGTAATAAGGAGATCGACCAGTGACGAAGGCAATTTTGTCAATATACCTATAAGTTTAAATAGATTTGAATTGAAAAGAATATTGAATATAGTTCACTTTAACATTGTGAAATGAGATTAAATTGATTTATTTTTAATTATTATTATATGTCATAGCATGAGTGATCTTCTTAGTCTTAACCTGCTTAATCAATTTATACCATCATTCACCTTTCACCTACTTTCTATAGGTCTGCTATACAATGTGTGTTTTAGTAGATTTATGAGGGATTAGCTCCAGCTATATATCTATATTTAAAAAACTCTATTTATTAGGTACTTATTAGATGTGTAGATGTAACTCTCTTATTTCATTTCTGTATATGCTTCTTCTTCTTCTTTATTTGCCAATTCGACCTCGAATATTGGTAAGCATATAACATAAAACTACATTGTTTAAATTATCTTTATATTTATAATTACAAATTTTTTTCGATTTCTGCATATTGTTTTCTCTATTTCGGTATATTTATAAGGTTGCCGACCTTTCTTATTCGGGTCCAATAACGTATGTTTCGCAGACATTTATTATTTTCTTATGATTGCGATCCGAGATTTTTTGGATTAGAAAATTAGTTTTTTTCTGCAATCTTTAATTAATTATCTATACTTATGCAATTATCTGTTCTACAGAATTTTTGGAATTATATTTTATTAAAGAAGATTTAAAGAGTACTATTTTTTTTGTGCAAATGTATTATATGTATTATATGTTATTAAATAAATAAATTGTTAATAAAGAAATTGAAATAATTTAATTCTAGTGTTGGGAGTCAACTGCGGAAGAAACATCAACATTTACACCAGATATAACACCTCTTATATTAGCAGCTCATCGTGATAATTATGAGATCATCAAAATCTTACTTGATAGAGGGGCTGTTTTACCAATGCCACATGATGTGAGGTAATAACACAACTATTTAAAATTATATATATATTCGTTAATATTGTTACGTTTATTCTAACGCTTCGTTCGATAACACTGGATCCTGATAAGTGAATAATGTTAAACTTGTATTAATTATAACCGTTATTTATATTCTGAAAAACACACAACTTTATTCCTTAAAATAATCAACTACTTTATTCTCCTAAAATTAACCAACTCCATTAAAAAAACTTATTTACTATCTAACTGACATAATTCAAAATTATCTCAGTTAACTTAAATCGAATTGTATCTTCGCAACATTGCCCTCCACCTAAACTTGTTCGTCCCGAACAAGTGTCACCATATCTTCATGACAACGCGCCAACCGTTCCAAATGAACTACTTTCATCTTAGATCTTCGTTATTTGTTATGTCCGAAACGAACAAGGCATCCCTGACATCAGCAATAAATTCACTACCCGTAGCCAATACGTCATCTGTGGTATCCTCATGAAACAAGACATTTCCATCAATTGTCACGTTCTTATCATCTGTGAGGTCGGCATCAACGTTTAACGGTATATCTTTATAAGACAACTTATTCGCGACCAACAAGTCCTCTGCGGTCTCCGCATCATATTTGATTTCCTGATTAATCCTGAACGGATGCACCAAAGTTCGTGCAAGTACGATATTATCGACTCCGACATTTTCCATGGCTTCTACAATCCAGCATCTGTTCGTCCTTTTATTCGCGTCTAGTGTTCCCCATACAATCGCTTCTGAATTTGCCGGTATTCGTCGTCGTCGATTCAATCGAACCTGTCTCATCCTATCGCAATGCTCACTGCCAGTATTCAATGGACATTCCATTACCGCGCTCCGTAGGATACGTTGTCCTAAGTCCAACGTAATTCCATGGGCAATCATAAAATCTACTTCAAATGGAATACCCTCAACATATATAACATATGGGGATTCTTGGTCGTCCAAGCAGATGTTAATTTCAACTGATTCAGCTATACCAAAGCCGATTAACACAAAATCATAACTATATAAACCGAAATAGTCTTTCCTCCTTTTCTTTCTTCTCTTTTTTCTGTTTCTTTTTTCCCTATTCATTATTTGAATCAGTCTTCTTCTCCCTCTTATCTTATTTCTTGTTTTCTCTTTTATCCTTCTTTCTTTTCTTCTCTTTCCTCTATTTCTTTTTACCTCCTTTCTTGTCTTCTTTTTTGTCTTTCTTCCTGCCTTCATTTCTGTCTTTTCTTTTGCCTTCCTTCTTGTCTTTCTTTCTGCCACTCCAGTTTCCATTTTCCGTACTTTTGCTGTAAAGCAACACATTATACCGGCAGCCTCGTACGTTAACGCACTGCCAACTGTTTCAGCGTAAGTTAGCTTTGGAAACATTACCACCTGCCGTCTGGTTTCTGGATCACGTATGCCATCAATAAAAACATCAATTTTATTTTTTTTAATGAAGTCACTAGAACTGCCAATATACGCTAAATTGCATAAACGTTCGATATCCGCGGAATATTCCTGAAGACTCTCGCCAACCCGTTCTACTCTTGCCTTCAGTTCTACTCTGCGTAGGGGTGACATAAAATTGCTGCCATACCTACGATTTAATAAGCCAATTAACTCATGGTAATTCCTACGTGCCGTATCAGGAATCTGTTGTAGCACCTCTGCCGTGCAGCCCTTTAATGCCACAATCAGCGCTGCCGTTTTCTCATCTTCACCCCAACGATTTGCAACAGCAGTAGTCTCGAACTGTAACTGGAAAACTTCAAACATCGCGGTTCCACCAAACACCGGTGGTTTTAATTTTACTTCCCCAGTCCGGCGAACACTCGCTAACGAATGACGATTCGACGACAAATCATCCAATCGATTTTCTAACTGGTACACCTCATTAAAGACTTGAATATTCTGGTTTGTTTCATCAACCCTTTTCGACAACTTTTCTTGCGCCTCTGCTGTTATCCCGACAAGTTGCCACAACTCTTGTTTTAAATCTTTGAATTCACAGAAAATCTGCTCTGCGTTTTTCTTAAGCTCAGTGGAAGTCTGCTCTGCATGTTCCTTCATCTGCTGCATCATCTTCATCATAAGCTCCATCATTTCACTATTACCCACCTGTTTAACTTCTCCCGCTACAATTATCTCTTCAGGGAATTCTTCCACTTCCGCATTTATACCGCTCGCCTTTAAAGCCTCACGCAGCCTTACTTGCAACTCCGTCTTAACACCACCTGTGCTAAGCCCCAGCTTCTCCAGTTGCCGCTTTAATTGCACTACGGTTAACTGTCCAAGCTTAACCATTTTATTTATCAGGATCCCACTTCTGACACCAATGTTACGTTTATTCTAACGCTTCGTTCGATAACACTGGATCCTGATAAGTGAATAATGTTAAACTTGTATTAATTATAACCGTTATTTATATTCTGAAAAACACACAACTTTATTCCTTAAAATAATCAACTACTTTATTCTCCTAAAATTAACCAACTCCATTAAAAAAACTTATTTACTATCTAACTGACATAATTCAAAATTATCTCAGTTAACTAAAATCGAATTGTATCTTCGCAACAATATTATATAGTATATTTATTAAAATTTTTAAATTTCTTACTTTCTGCTATTTTTTAGATGTGGTTGTGATGAATGTGTACAGTCTCGTCAAGAGGATTCACTTCGTCATTCACGTTCACGTATTAATGCTTATCGAGCATTAGCTAGTCCTAGTTTAATAGCTTTATCCTCTAAAGATCCTATTTTAACAGCCTTTGAATTATCATGGGAATTGAGGCGTTTAAGTTTTTTAGAGCATGAATTTAAGGTACAATAATAATTTATACATTATAAAAAAAAATAACTCAAGAATATTTTTTTCTAATAATATGTAGAATGAGTACCAGGAATTACGCAAACAATGCCAGGATTTTGCTACAGCATTATTAGACCATACACGCACGTCGCATGAATTGGAAATACTACTTAATCATGATCCCACCGGTCCAGTCTATGAACATGGTGAACGCATGCACTTGAATCGTTTAAAATTAGCTATTAAACTTCGACAAAAGAAGGTATAAATATAATTTAAAATAATACCGGATTTATAAGTTGATTAAATTATGAGAAATATTAATTTTTGATAACCGATTATTTTGATTCTAAACAGAAAAGATTTTAAGATGATACTACTGTACTTATGTGCCCTATATTTATATTTATACTAAATAGAGATTATAATTAGAGCAATCAATTTAATTTTTAATTCCAAAATGACTTATGATGTTTTTCTCGAAGATATTAAATGAGGCTTGATCTGCCCCATATTAACTTTTCTCATAATGGTGGTTGTGAGAAGGAAACTGTTTTTGACTTTAAGGGTTATTGCTCATCTTAGACGAAAAAGTGTCATTCTTTTTAATTAGAAAGATCGTCAAGATTTTAGTTTTGTCAATTGGGTACACTTTTCCTCAAGTGAAGAAGTGATGTATATTTTCTTCAAGTCGGTATGATCCTCTTGGTCTAGTATATGAACAACGTTTTATGTTTTCTTCAACTTTGTGCGGTCAGTCCTCTTGGTTTGGCATATGTACCTATGTTATAAGGATGATTCATGGTATATACAGTGGAAATAATTTTTGTATTAAGGCAGAAAATATTGAGATTAAATTTTATTGATAGTATCTTAACGTTTTATGTAAATTTTCGTAATCATAAAAAATAATAAAATAATTTTTATATATTTTTTTAGTTCGTTGCTCATTCAAATGTACAACAATTATTGGCAAGCATCTGGTATGAGGGTTTACCTGGATTTCGTCGTAAAAATATGGCATTACAAGCAGTCGATATCATTCGTATTGGTAAATATATTAGCATTAAAATCTACTTTTGGAGCGACTTTAATATAATTAATTCCCTATAGGTATAATGTTCCCGATATTTTCATTAGCATATATACTAGCTCCTTATTCAAGTATTGGACAGACAATGCGGAAACCGTTCATTAAATTTATTTGTCATAGTGCATCTTATTTTACGTTTTTATGTAAGTATCTTTTTAGTTTTAATTATTATATTATTAGGAATTACTTTTTAATATTTAAAATATTTAAATATACAGTATACTTTCCAACAAACAGCGGTTTTAAAAGCAAATGTCGTTTATGCTGGCTCTCCCAGTGTTCTGGAACTAAAAATACATACAATATAAGCTTCTCAGGATATATGTGTAGTTCTTTTGACAAAGTATTTTCTCACAAATTTATACACATACATATGTACAGAATGATAATAAGTCTCTTATCATATATCCATTATAAATTGGGAAATCGTAAGCACCTAACAACTAGACCAGCAATAGAGAAATATACCTTTAAAGACTAGAAGACCAGAAATAAAAACATCTTATCAGTATACAAAAAAAACATGATACAGTATAGAGATTACGCTATATGTATATTACTTACACGAAACTATGTATCTAACGCTTATGCGAGTGTTTAGTTATTAGGCTGGAAATGGGTATTCCTGAAATGTCTGAAATATCGATATCATTACAAAAGACCAAAAATAAGTTATTGACAAATATTTGTTTCTCACTAACCCAAGAAGGAAAATGTTAATATATTTCAGTTTTCAAATGAAATTTTAGATTTCCGTTTAAAATAAGATGAGGTCCACATTTAGAACTGGTACATATAACTGATATATGTATCTGAAGTTGGTATATTGATCGGTTTAGTCAGTATATTATTACCACTTTTAATTCAAACCGAACTATCAAATTTTAAATAAGCTCTTCCGAAAAATGTGTGATCAAATTTTCTGACCGACTATACTTTGCTCATCGATCGTAGCCATTTACTCTAAATTTTATCTCTAGTGAATATGTTATCTGACTTAAACCAACATCAATAGATAATAAAATGCTCTTATTATAATTATTAAAGTTACAAGTCTAATATTTTGTAGACTAAATAACTTAATATTTGTTAAGTTATGAAGAAATCTATATACATATATTTTCTTTAATTAACTAGGGATTTATCCAAATTGAAATAATATTATTTTTATTTAAATTTAATTAAAATAAATTTAATTTAAAATTAATTCAAATAAATTTTATTTTTATTTTTCTAGTCTTGTTGATGTTAGCATCTCAACGAATCGAAACTTTTATCGGTGGTTGGTTTTGGAATGACTCACATAGCAATTTATTATCGCAGGTTGAAGAGCTACCCACAAAACGGGGTGCTAAGCCCACATTTATCGAATGGCTTATTTTGGCTTGGGTTAGCGGTAAGTTTAAAATGAAGATTTGTTTTACTATAATTTATACATTAAAATAGAAATAATATATGATTTTATCAGACAACCCTTATATCTATGAAATCTTTTTCTTCTTCGACTTCTTGAACAATACTTTTTACAACTACAATCTGGAATGAACTTTGAAAATAATTTTCAATTTTAACAATTACGCTATAATATTTTCATTTCAATAACCGCTTTTCGTCCTCTTTTCTTAGTTCTTTACTCAAATATTGGTCTTAGCTTCCCCACTGTGTTTGTTTCTTTTGGGGTACTACTATTCACCCCACTTGCTCTACTTATCCATTTATAAAGTCGGTAATAATTAATGTGATGGTTGACATCATTTTATTTTTTAGGTCACCTTATTTGTAGGTGAAAATGTAGCACTGTAAATAATTTATGGCCCTCTGCATTCTATAATCCACCACATCATTTCTCCATCAGTACAAGACCATAATACTTATTTAAGATTTTAAAGAAATAAATTGAATTATCTTGATTTTATATTTAGGACTTATTTGGAGTGAAGTGAAACAACTGTGGGATGTTGGACTGCAAGAATATCTCAATGATATGTGGAATGTTATCGACTTCGTCACCAATTCATTATATGTTGCCACGGTAGCATTACGCGTGGTGTCATTTTTTCAGGTACAAAATTTTTTATACAATATTTTGTATAAGAAATAAAAATTTTTATAATATTAAAAAAAATAAAATAAAATTTATTTGTTTTTCTTTCAATTGTTTTAATTTTTTTGTTTTTGTTAAAGGTGCAAAAAGAAATGATCACCAATCCATACGCCACAGATTTACCGCGTGAGCGTTGGGACACTTGGGATCCAATGCTCATTTCGGAAGGGCTTTTTAGTGCGGCAAACATTTTCAGTAGCCTCAAACTGGTATACATATTTTCAGTAAATCCACATTTGGGGCCACTGCAGGTGTCACTGTCCCGTATGGTTATGGATATTATGAAATTTTTCTTTTTGTATGTTTTAGTTTTGTTCGCATTTGGAAGCGGTTTAAACCAATTACTTTGGTAAGAATTTTATTTAAAATTAAAAATTATATTTACATTTTATTTTTATGAATCAATTTATTCAAATTATAGGTATTATGCTGATCTGGAGAAAAAACGTTGCCCTGAGGTGTCACCAACAAATGTGCTGCTTAGTCTAAATGGTACCACAGATCCAAATGCTTGCATCGTCTGGCGTCGATTTTCCAAGTAAATAAAATATATTTTTTACAAATTATATTCCATGTACTTAAAATTATATTTTAAAAATTGATAATATAAAACAATACTTAACAATTTTGGAATATATATTGAAAATATAATATACATAACAAAATATAATCTATTCAGTATCTATAGTTAATATGTGTCCAAAAGTGTTTGCAATGGTAGATGTTGATTTATAAAATTTTTTTTTCTAGTTAAATTTATATTTTTATTATTTTATTTAATTAATATTTTAAATTGTTATATATGTTATTATATATTTTAATTTTAATAACACAGCAGTTATATTTTACTATCACTAAACATTAAAAATTTATTTCATATTTATTTTGTTGAAAATAATAATTTATTTTTGTACATAATAAATAATATTAAATTTAATTTTAATGATTAGTGATGATTTTGTTTAATAAAAAATAATTGAATTTAATAGAGAGGTTTCGTATAGTAGTAAATTGTAAGAACAAAATTTTTATCTATTTTTAATAATGAAATATTAAATATAAAAAATAATTCCCAAACCACTTATGATGGCAATACTCCAAACACTGCTGTGTGATCAGCCAAAAATTCAATTAATTATAAATAAACAAAAATATTGTTGTTACAATTCACTACTGTTCGAAACCTGTCAACATAATAAATAACATATTATATACATAAGGAAGCAATGGTTAGAAAGAGCAATTTTCCGTTTTACTTTTGTTCAACTACTACATGGAGAGAACTGTTGAAGTAGATGGTCATTTAAAATCAAGATGATATGCTGAGACTTGTATTAATAAATAAACAATTGTGACGATATGGAAACCACTCCCCGTAGCAACCTATGTGCTTTAATTATTATATCAAAGGAATTATTTACAGCTTTGTAATAGAGGAATAAGAGTGCATATCTATTAAAATTTCTAGAACCTTTATCAGGTCTTCAATTTTCCATAATAAGCATGTATTCTGGAATCCAAGTATTAGATATTAAATAAATAATCTCTGAAAAATAGTTTATTATTGGAAAAAATCACGAATTTCCTGTTCTTGTCTTTTAAATATTGTAAAGAATAGATTGCAGATATTTTTGTTGCTTTTGCGGTGAAAATAAGTCCCGATGAATATACCCAGCTACACTGATGGGTATTCTTGACCGTATCAGCAACTAATTCGGTAGTTTTGAAACTTCAAACCTACATGGACTCTAGAAACTAAGATTAAGAAAATTTCTTAGCCTTCTAAATTCACAAACATTGAACAAGATTGGAACTTTTTTTCATATACATATTTGTATTCCCTTTAGAGGTACTTTTTGGACAGTTTTTAACGTATACATTTTTTATGAAAAACAGTGGGTGAGTAGTTGAATCTAGAACCATAAAAACTTATACCAATGTTTATTGGAACCAACAAATTATTTAAAAATCTTAAATTATCGGTGATCCGGTGATATGGGTACAATATTTTCAATAAATTCTTTTAGGAATTCTCATATAAAGGTTCCAATTAAAGATATCTGAAAAATGTGCCGTACCTTAAATAAAATAAAAATATAATTAATTATTATTTAAAAGTATTCATATTCAGTAAATATGTATAATAACAAAATATGGTATAATAAATAAAAATAATTATTTTTCCATAAAATAATAAAAACCTTTACTTACAGTCTTTTTGAAACAACTCAAACCCTATTTTGGGCAGTCTTTGGTCTAATCGATTTAGATAGCTTTGAATTGGATGGCATAAAAATATTTACGAGATTTTGGGGCATGTTAATGTTTGGCACATATTCAGTGATTAACATTGTGGTATTGTTAAATCTTTTAATTGCTATGATGAATCATTCATATCAGCTGATTTCGGTAAGCTTACAAATTCGAAATTTTTCTCCATTTTCGATATCTAAACTTAATTCTATATAATTTTATAGGAACGTGCAGATGTTGAATGGAAATTTGCGCGTTCGAAACTTTGGATAAGTTATTTTGAGGAAGGTGGTACCTGTCCACCACCATTTAATATAATACCCACACCGAAATCTATATGGTATGCTTTCAAATGGGTAAGAAGAGTGTTTTGTAGTGGATCATCGGCAGCACGACGTGAACACTTAAAAACGATACGAGTAAGTTAAGAAAATGTATTAATAGTTTTAATATAATACAAAAATGTATATTCCAAATTAGCGTAAGGCACAACAGGCTAGTGATCGGGATTTCAAATATCAGGTACCTATACATATATAAATAATACAATTAATAATGTTTATTGTATTTTATTTTTAAATTTTTTTATTTAAAGCAAATAATGCGAAATTTGGTGAGACGCTATGTGACGGTTGAGCAACGTAAGGCAGAATCTCAAGGAGTCACAGAAGATGATGTCAATGAAATCAAACAGGATATATCGGCATTCCGATGTGAATTAGTAGAAATATTGAAAAATAGTGGCATGGATACAAATGTAACAGCTGGACAAGGTGGAGGTAAATTTGAATGCATACTAAACTTAATTACTTTAGAACGAAAACAATAATGAGATTAACATTTATCATAATAATCTAAATATTATTTATTATATTTAAAATAATGCATATTATCGGTAGGAATTAAAGTATTTATCTAACTTATATAGAATTCCATATAATATTAATAAGATGTTATATATAATTATAATACAATATAATAAGAGTTCTATATATAGTATACTTCTATTGTAGAAGAAAGACGAAAACCTTAATCCATACCGATAGTCTTTATTGTTTTAAAAAAATCTCTTGAAAAAAATTAATTCCACTTCATTCAAATGGATTGGAATATATGCTGATATTCCAATGATTAGTTGGTAATTTGCAGTGGCTCTATTTGAGAGTTCATAATTAAAAAAGAAAATATAAAATACAGTTAAAGCAAAAGTTGTTTGGAGATTCTGTGAGAGGAAAGTCAGTTATCACTTATTAATAATTAAGACTTAAAAATAGTTGTATAGTTACTGATAAGACCAATCACTCTGGTTTTCAATCTCACAGTATTATTATTCAAAGCCTTGATAAGATTTATAAAATTTATTCTTCAACCTATCTGGAAAATATTTCTTTTTTATCTTTTCATACTTTTCGGCTATAAATCTTGTCACGTTCAAAAAACTCATTGTTATTTCTATCTATTTTGAATTTCGACCCTTCTTAAGAGTAATTGTTAGAAAATTGGAATCATTATTTAATTAAAAATAGCGTTCTTTGTATACTCCGCCTATCGTTGTCACTATTGTACAACATGATATGACCTATAGCCGAATAGGATAAAAAATAAAAAAAAATTTATAAAATCGTTAGTTCTATATCTAACGATCTAACGAGATCTATATTTTATTGGATTATTTAGCTATGAGAAATCTTTTACCAATGCTTTAAAGAAAGGTAAAAAATGTGCTTTTCTATGAACATAATACACTATGTCTCATTTGAATGAGAGCAATAACTAACGTATACGAATTGTCTTTAATTTACTCTCTCACTGAAACTATTGTCTGGATATGGCCTTATCCTTACATATCCTATTATCTGTACACGAATTCAAAAAAATGTCTTGGGGATAAAATTTATATAGAAAGTCCATTTCAATCATTTTTATATATATTAATTATTATTACCTTGTACTTTTATTTTAAAATTTTGAAATAATATATAATTAACATATCATTTTGATGTATATCTATTTTCTATTATGTATATCTGTTATTGGTATTAATATACTTTTTTCTTTTTTTTATTATTATTTTTATATACATTATGTATCTAATTCTCATATCCTTTTTAACGGTTTTCTGAATTTTAAATTTCTTCATCATTATAGCATCTTTGTTAGGATCATTGTATTACAAAAACATATCTGCAATAGCTATAAATTAATAAAGTCTTACTTACTTACTAACATATCATTTTGATGTTCCCACAGGTGGTGGTGGTAAGAAAAACCGTCAAAAAGAACGTCGCCTTATGAAAGGCTTTAATATTGCACCACCAGGCTCAACAGGTTCTCTGGCACCAGTTGCAGAATTTTCTACGTCACTGGATAATTATGATAATCAGAACGAAATACTTACGTCAACATTATCGAACCTCTTTACACCTAACTTCATGCACAAAAAGCAAACGAATTGTTGTTCGAATAGCAATTGCAATGATCTAAATGAGAAAGAATCTCCACCACTTACAACAGCAGTACAAACTACTAACAAATACAATAAGTCCACACTAAAACCATACAATAAACGTATTGCAGGTCACAAGAAACGTTGGGGTAAGTTATAGAAAGAAATAATTGAATCTACAATTGATTTGATTCTTATAAAAAGAACCCAACAAAAAAGATACTGTACTTTTCTTTTATATTGAAGGAACTCTGATTGATGCAGCAAATGTTTCAAAAATGCTGGGACGTTCAAAATCCGAGGATTCAGTTTGTAATTCGTCAAACAATTCATCACCGGTGCACGGTCAAGTACGCGTTACCTATTCACAAAATTCCAATCAACATTATCATGGGGACTTGAATACCGCAGAGCAAACTGCAAATAGTAATAGCATAGCGAATGCTCACAATTTGAAGGAGCACAGTGGCGGCGTTAGTACACATTTCTTCCATACAACAACTGGTAAGCACTGTAAAGTATTTGGAATAATTGAATTGGAAATGCATTATTTTAATAATATAATTTTATTATGTGAGGTTTGACAGCAATTGCTGCTTTGAAAAAGAAACGCAAGAAGTTTTCATCAAGCAAAAATATTTGCCCTGTCACTGAATCAATTTCTACTGCCAATGGAACTGATACGCTTAACGATAAGGTTTGTCCTTGATTATTTTATCTAAATATTGTCGTAATTTATGTATTTATTTTACTTTATTACATATTAAATAAACTACTCATTCTTCGGTCAAGTTTCACCTATAGAGTTTTATGTTGGTACTCCTTCGGTATCAATATTTACTTATATATGTTCTACTGATGTTCAGAACGCTTAGCTACTTGACTTTCTTTCTTAAATATGGAATATAAAATTAAAAATTATATCCTTTACTAACGAAATACAGAAAAAAACATTCACAAAGTTTACTTTTTTAAAATTTTAATTGGTATTGTATGATCTCTCGATTAATGGTAGTAATATCATTGGAACCCTTACAGCCAATTCAAACTACACATTTTATGTGTCTTACAAAAGGAGGCTAAAGGTCTATTCACATTACATACTCACTCTCAGAACAGCTAAAATCAGGTTTTTGTATGAAACATATGAATAATGAGTCAATTAATGGAGACAATCCATTAATACTACAATAATCGGAAAATTACTGAAATAATTTTTGTCTAATACAAGTAATGACGAAGGAGAAAAGCAGATATTTTTTGAGTGAAAATCTTGAACACTTTGTTTTGCTTATTAACCCTTTCCTATATGTACACTGGTAAAGGATGTTAATTAAGTAATGTCTTTTTGTTTCATTATAATTAATATTAATTGTTTCTGTTTTTTCAGTCACAATGAAAATATTGTGTTTTTAAAGACTTCAAAAAATAATTCTGTGTTTATTGTTTTACAGTTTCTTAAGCGCGTTTCCAGTTATCCAGCATCGAATGCCGATAGTGGTGTTCAAAATAAAGATGCCACAATCATAGCTAAACCCCGACGACACGAACAAACACAGAGTCAACATGATTCTGTGGAAACATCTACTGAATTTACGCTGTCCAGCGAGATACACCATTTGGATCCATCCAATACATCCGTCAATTCACGTGAACCATTAATAAGCAGTAGTTACGCCTCCACAAGTATCATCAGCTAAGTACATCAACAAATTGGAAATACTCATACACCATGGCGTGTACAATATTTCAATAATTGAAAACAATAAATTGATTTACAATAATTGTAAAAAAAAATTTTAAAAGTGAGTAGCATAAATTTAAATTATAAATAGAATTAGTGAAATAAATAAATCGGCAGGATATCTTTAGAAGTTATAAAATCAGAAAATACAAACAAGAAAACATTCATATCAGAACAACAAAAATTTGATAAACCATTAACATGAGATCCTACATATGTATTAACTATATCAACTCCTGTTTTTCAAACCGAAAAAATTATGCATTTCGTAAATAATTCTATTGGGACGATATAGAAAAGTTCATCTAAGACAAAAACAGTCCTCACTCTTTCTCTTGTTATTACATCAATATTATTCAATTATTATATATTATGTATTAATATACTATTATCTTTTTTGTATATATAGTATTTCATATACTAGTATACGCTTTTGATATAACTTAAATTAACTCTTCTTTTCAAATTCTCCTTTTATATATTCGTTTTTCCCTTTTTTTTTATTTACCACAGACTGTACAAATTAGGTTAGCAAAGGTTGGGTTGTCTGAGACTGGGAGCAATTTATATACTCTGGGTTCTTAGCGATATTTGGATGAGTAAGATTTGACAGATTTGAGTGGCGTGATGAGGGAGTTCAATCGTGTTTACTATTAGAAAGAGTATCAGTTTTTATTATTAATTTAATAAAACATATTCTGCGTTTTTTAAGTCGAAAATATTCACTTCCACTATAAATGAGAATACTACAATGATCCTTTGCTAACTATGTTCACCATTCTGTAACAATGGATCACACCATAATCTTTTATTTACGTTTTTAACACCAAGTACTCTTTTATTCTATATTTGTATTTAATGCAGTTGTCAACCTCGACTAAGAAAATCTTCGAGGTAAAAGTGCTCAGAAGACAATATTCTTTCAGCGCATCAATGCACTATTCTCCATATAGTTCCAACTCAACCTTTTTTTTAGTCCATTTTTTCGCTGTTGATAACATTACTTCTATCTAATTTATGTTTTTATACACTCAAGATTCGATCTCGGTTGTTATCACAATTTATTCTCAAGTTCTGTCAAATAAATTCTTAATTAAATGAGGTTATGTCGACTTATCAAAAAGTCGTGGAAAAGTTACACGGTTTTTTTTAAAACAATTTCTTCTTATTTAAATTTGTAATTAGATTTGATTTTCAATAAACTAATTTTGATTGAATTCATTGGTCGCTTAGAATGTAATAAGTAATTCAATAGATATTGTCCACAAATCAGTTGTCTTGAAATCAAATCACAAACCACTAAGTAATGGAAGAGATTATATTTAATAGAAAGATTGAATATTAAATAATATAAATTTTTTTAAATGTTTGTAATTTCAAATTGATTTAGTCAAATATTTAAGAGATTTGTAAGACGTTTATAAAACAAGAATTAATTATTTTTAATTTGTATACATATATAAAAAATAAACTAGAGATCTACCTAATTACTTGAGAAAATATTATATATATATATATATATAATAATGGCAGATAATATCACTAAACAATATTTATTCTCACACACATTGCATGCAAATAATACTCGTACATCTAATCAAAATAAAGTTCGTACTACTTATTTAAACTAGGGCCTAAAAAATCAAAATATTAAATACATATATTCCTATGGGCATTAGCCAAATATCTTCATCAAACAGAATACTAGTACTTAAAATACAGTTAATCATTAAGCATTATATAAATAATATATATATAATTCTACCAAAGACACTAACACAAATACAACGAAGCACATTTTTGTTGAACCTCACAGACCCTACAAAAACCTATATATATATATATATATATATATAAGAGGGAGTTCAATATATATATATATATATATATACCCTGTAGTACATATGTATGGGTACACATTTTCATATATACAGTATATTTACACAGTGTTATAAAATAATAAAAAGCGATCTTGAATGAAGTATGAGTCAACTAAAGTAATAATCCCTATTTAACTTTATATAATTCCTATTTAACTAATCTGAATTTTAAATAATGCAACTTCTCGTTAAATTTTGCGTTAAGTTTCTAATTTAATATTTTACTTACGAGTATAACTTATAAAAATTATTTTAACCAATTACTTTTAAGCTTTCCTGAATTTTTGTAAATTAATTCTTTATGATGGATATTAAGACTAAGCTTCTCCAAATGTAGGCTTTTTTTATTATCCATAAGCCTGCTTCTCAATTGCTTTCCACTCTCGTCAATTTTTTGTATTCTATTACCAATTTTTAAATTCCATTTCTTTTAAACTTCTTTACACATAGTCCTCTCTGTAATTGGACACATGTTTCTACATAAAATGTAGACATTTTATATATATATCCTACGAGCAGAAGGTTAAAAATCTTCGGATCCCTTTTTCTCACCGATCTGACTGAGCTGTCATCCTATATTTGATAAAACCTTCTATACCATATTGTCTTAGTTATTAACTTAGTTGGCTCTAACAGATGTGTGTTGTCCTTGATTACTTTCAGTGGGATCTGTCGCCAAGTTGATATTCACGAGTGTCTTCAGATCATGCGGTACTCGATCTATTTGAGCAGTGAGTACGTATCAAGAAGGTATATAATGTCACGAGAGTTTTATTTCTCAGTTTTCCTATTATCAATCAGAATTAATTATTTTCAAACTAGTTATTGGTTTTAACTCTATAGAAGTTAAGCATATAATATTCGTTATGTTTTATTAGTATAAATTTGTTTAATTAGAACCACTTATATAGAAACATTTAGATCTCTTGTAATATCGCTATTAGTCTCTTCCATTTTAATCAGCTTTAAACTAATGAATTTATTTAGTTATGTCCATTATGAAATCTCATTAGTGAAAGATAGATTCTTTTTTGAATAGATGCGTCAATAGTGGCATTCAACAAAATACATTTATTTAACACTTTTCAAGTGAAATGAAATAATACATCAACAAATTTTTCTTTACCCTAGGATATCTATTTGTTTTTAAAATATATACTGATCTGGACCATGTCCACGCTTCAAAAATATAAGTACCCTATCGATTTGATTGGTCCCTATTTGTTTATGTCACTGTGTAGTAAGATAAAAAAATAATATATATAATATATTATAATATATAATATAATATGTATAATATATATTGAAATCAATTTGCTTGGGTCTGTTGCGAAAAATGTGCTTAACAAACGAAAGTATGAAATTATTGCTACCTGATATTATTTTTTAATATTTATTTATATTATATACTTATACATATATATTTATTTTTATTTTTGCATATGTAGTAAACACGAAACATATCATCGTTAACTTAAACCTCCTTAAATTAAGAACAGAACAGTCTATATTCATAAATCATGCGTTTATACAAAAACAAACTAACGAAAACTAAAACTACTCATATCGATGTTGCAAGTTGCCTTAAAAATTTTTGAGAAATATTAAATAAAAAACATAAACCATTTTGGATGAATATTTAAAGTTCAGATAATATAAATTCTTAATAAAATAAAAAAAAATTAATACAAATAATTTAAATATATATTAAATATATGTATGTTTTGTTTAAGTTTTTTTTAGGGAACAGAATTGTTATTATTATAAAAAATAATAAATTATTGTTAATATAGAACAAATATAGAAATATATTTATATATTTATATATATATATATATGAATTTATTTTATACACCAAATTTTTAAATTCATTAAAATAGAACAAGAACTACAACCACAGAGTAAAAAATCTAATTAAGAATTTTATTTTAAATTTATCATTACAAAAAATATTTATTAAAGTAAACAAGAACAATTTATTATTTTTACATATTACTTATATACATATATTTAGTTAAATTAGCCATATAGAAATATATTTTAATTGTAGTTGTTATATTTGAAAATGTTAAGACATTTTATAAAAGAAATATATTTCTAGTTCTAAATTATTGCAAACAAAAAAAAAATTAATAAATAATTAATAATAAAGTATTGCATACAATAAAGTACATAATATAAAATTAAATATATACTATAATTTAATTAAAATAAAAATTGTTATTTGCACGAAAATAAAATATTAATAAAAAAATACAAACCAGCAAAATCGTTTTTTAATTTATATACATTTATATTTTAAATATAATAAAAAATATCGCAGGAAATCTTTAACATCAAATTATACTGAATTATATGTTAATACTACATAAAAACATATACTTAATGTGATGTGTAATAGTATATATATATATTTTTATAAAAAATATTTGGAATTTATTATTTGAAAAATCACGAAGACGTTCGGATGTCTTCCTACTAGGTTAAGTTAGGTTAGATGAAGTTATACAGGCGATCATAAGTGGATCCACTTAGGTCTATAGGCCTATTATGCTAGCCTATTATTAAAAGCTAGAGAATTAAAACCATCTATAATCTTTGGCAAAGGTTATGATACTATTTAAAGGGAGTTCTTGAAGTTCGCCAAGTTACTAAAAAAAGAAAGCCCCTAAAATGTTAAGGCGCCGCCGAGCATGTACCGGACAGAAGCAAAGCAGGTGGGAGGCGCTTTCATCATCCTCACCACAACTGCGGCAGATACGGTTAAAAGAAAGATTTAGTCTCATCATTGTTAACTATAATACAATGACCTGTAAGTAAACTTAGTGCAAGACTAATATCTCTACATTTCTATGAGAAAGTTCGATTTTCTTCTATTTATGTGTGGCCAAATTGCATACAGATGCCCTCATATCGTAGTGATCTTCCTACTAAAAGACGTTTAACCTACTAAAAACACCTGTTAGGAATAAATAAAATTTTGTGAAAGGTATTGAGGGTGACTTATGCGACATGACATGCGCTAAGTCAAATGCTAGGGTACTAAACTGGAGGACATTAGGAGATAGGATATATAGCCATACAATATACTTTAAGAAGCAAGTGAAAGTAAGTGATCGTCAATATAAATTATATAAATTCTAATAAAGAGCATAAATTTATGAATTAAAAATTAATATGAATCAAGCGACCAGATGATCCCCGATTCTTCTAACAGAAACTATTTTCAAGCGTTAAGTGCGGCTAATGTGAAGGGTTTAATACTAAAAATTAGTTTGGTAAGTATGAGCACGTATGCATAACGGTATAGTAATTGCACTCTACTTGTACTTATGAATATACCATATAATTTGATTTGTTACAGTTCTTTGGTATTGACATACATACATTAACTGCATAAGAGAACCAGTTACTAATCTATAATTATTTACTGAAACCCACTTGGATTTATACACTACTGGTATGAGGCTCTGCGGTGGATACTAATCTTTAAAAAATCCCACGTTTTAAGTGCAAAACATCGCGCAAAAGTACCAAATCAAAAAAAAACGTCTAAGAATGCAAAGAAATATGCTAATCAAATACCCAATCCCGCTTGCAATGGACCTAATGTGACTTTTAAATATATTCATAAAGTAAAGAAAAAACACTCGTATGGATCTCTTTGAAATAAATGAGTTGTAGGCACTAATATACGCTATCCATATATTTGGATACGTCACTAGACATAGTACATAAGCATTGAGGATCTTTGTGGGCGTTTTATATAAAGCTTATAAAAAATAATTATTTTTCTTCAAATTAAATTACAATCTGTAATAAAATGGATTAAAATCAACAAAAAAAAAATTTAGAATTCGGATACGGACACAGATACAGATACTGATTATTAAACAGATAATTACAAATTACATTAAAATAATTAAATACAACTTACCTCACACACGGAAACCTTCTTATTGAAACGCAAATCTAAACTACATAAGAATTATAAATCTATATATTTCATTATAACAACAATGTACACTAGTTGGCATAAGTATTTTCACAAAATCTTTGTATAAATGTTTTTCGCGTGAAAACAAAAAATAATTTTTTGTATTAAACTTTAATTGATAATAAACATTGATAAAAAATAAATATTGATTATAAATTATTAAAAACCATGGACAAAATGGCTGAATTGAGTTTGGTTATCAGATCTTCAATAGTTGCAAAGTTTAACGCTAGAACGGCAGTAAAAGATATGGCAAAGCAGTTTAAGGTGTCGCATCAAACTGTTTACTATCAAATTAATAAGTTGGGTTACTTGATTCCTATCGCCAGTTCACTATCAATGAACCAATGTCAATATTTAACTACCCTAAACGATTATGCCTTTCCTTCCGAAGTTAAGCTTATTGAAGCATCACTTATCCTGCAACAGGATACTGCTTTATGCCATGAAGCCCGGATGATAACTAATTTTTTGATGAACCACCTCAAAGTCCAGATTTAAATATTACAGAAAACGTCTGGTCTCTTTTGAAACCAAAGAGAACAGTTTCGTTAAATAAAAGCAGAGAGGAGATAATTTCTAAGGTCACTTCCTTTCGAAACAAATATCTTCAAAGATTCTTCAAAATTAAGTGGATTCAGTACCGAAACGCCTTATATATTTATTAGGGATTTATAAGAGATCTTCCCACCGAACTTCTCAACAAATAGTTCTAGACTACTGTTTGTGTTTTTTAAAGCATATCGACTTATTTTAATTTTTTTTAATATTAACACATATCTGTTCTGCATTGTTTGAGTTTGCAATGCGTTCAAAGGATGCCATTCTAAAACCGGTGCTAATCTAAAACTCCTTTGCTATTCAGCTACATAACTGCTCCTCTTAATTGAATATATATATATATATATCTTGTAAATCAAATCTTATTACATTTATTTAATCAAAAATAAAAGAAAAATATGTGTAAACTTTAATCGTTTAATATTTCAACTTATATAGTATACAAAACGTACATTAAAGACAAATTTCTCTATTGATAAAAATTGAAATAATAACTATTATATTATATCATTAAAAATATTTGAACTTAGTTGTTATATATGCTCAGTAAGCAACCCTGGAAGAGCGTGACGATTTTGATGAATTGTAATGACGATCTTCGCGCGCATTTCGATCGCGATTTTCATGAGACCTTTCCCGGTTGTCACGAGCATGCGGTGGTGTTTTATCCTATTGAATGAAAAGTGAATAATTTGATTAATTATTTAGTCTGCATATTTTAATAATATTTAAAAGTTATGCTTAATTGATAAAATTTAACAAATAATAAATAATTTCAAATTAATATAATATATAATAAAATAACATTTTTCTAATGTCGTCAATGTCTAATGTCTCAGCCTTTTTAATTAATATCAGACCCAGAATCTTATCCTTTCCCCATCACGCATATTTTCTTTCAAGTATTTTCTTACCTCACAACCCATCTAAGCCTATGTATTCGTCTTATAAACCGTTCACTTATGTTTATGTTTAAAATAATCACTTTATGTCTCCTGCTTTATAGGCCTTTATATCTTTATAGATCTAAGTGTATTACGTGAAGAATTTTTAATATCAGATAAGAATAGAAGCTCATTGCTTAGTATTCTTCTTTTCAGTTCAATTCAGTTAAAAAATAAAATTAATGAGGAATATATTATTCAACAAAGCTCTTTTTTTGAAGTTTATATAAGACTACTATATAATTTTATTACTTATTTAATGAAAAAAAAAATTAAGACTCTGATCTGGTATTGCAATGGATTTTAATGATCTACGCGTGGCCTTTTTGGTCTGCCAGCATAAGTGAATTGATATAGCATTTACTGAAAAATAGAAGAGTTATATATTAGGTTCAGGACTTTACATTGCAACTACATATGTACTAGTCTGCATTCATTTATTATGAATGCGTACATATATCGAGTAACATTTGCTGTATGAGAAACAGCATCGATAGATAGATAATAAAAGACGTTCTTATATCTCAAGTTATGACGGAAGACAAAAATATTTTATACTAGAATATAAATTGTTCTAATTTATATATCAGTAAATATCTTTTGATATATGAATGGTGTGACTTCAATCAAAATAATTTTGAAATAGAAATTTTTAGTATAAAATGAAATACATTTTACATTTATATACTTAAAATATGTAAATATACTCACTCTTGTATGAGTTGTATGTTTCTCTCTGTCACGTCCATCTTCATCACCATTTGGAACTGTAAGCAAAGAAATAAAAATATTAAAAATAGATAACAATAAAGAATTTAAATAAAAATAAATAAAAAAATCAAATGAATTGAATATATTTGTACCATCTCGCCTTCTTTTAGTTGTAACGTTACTAGCTTCTTCCATACGTATACGTTTACGACCTAGTTTACGCTCTTTCCGACCATCTTTGTCCTCAACATTGGATTTTTCTTTACGAGAATCTTTCATCTTGAATGTACGTTCCTTTTTGCTGTGCAATACAGGACTATCTGGTGCATTTTTCTGAAAATACAAAAAAGTTTGTACACAATACTCTTTAATATATCCTATATCTATTGCAGGTAGAGAATTATGGGTAGCTTGATAAATATTTATATAAATTTATGTTACTTTTTTTTACGTTAATTGACATTTTACCCTAACATTTAGATATTTTTTTTCATACAGTTACTAAATTTCTGTTTAATTTTTTTTTTTTTTTGTTTTTTCTTCAAACATCAAACTATCCCCAACCACTTACCGAAACCGATAGCACAGATAACATAGCGGTAGAGAGGTTAGATAGAAGGACGTCTTTCTGTTTTAATTACCCGTAAACAGACATGACCATCAACATAATTCTATGATACAGGATATTGTCTATTTTCCTTTTAAATATGAACTAAAACGTTGTAGAAGTTATTTTACTGGAGGCGAGATCCGGCTCTTGCAGTAGATAAACCAATGCTGATTGTCACACTAATAAATACAGCTGCTGTCAACACCAATTGCTACTTGAGTAGTTGAATGAATAGTTGAATGAATAATAAAAGATGAAAGAGGTTGAAAAACTTCCATTTTAGGTTGATCTCTCATAATAACGCACTGATGCTATGTGGATTGAAGACTTTGATATTGTTTTCTTTTAAAGTTGTATTCTCTATTTGAGATTAGAACATTCAAATGTTGTTGTTGTTAATTTAAATTTGATATTGTTTATTAATTCATAGATCTCCGCACAATTCCAATACATACTATAGCTGCATATTTCAACATGTTGTTGATATATTCATTTGCGATATAACTTCAGTTAGTTAGTCATTTAGTTAGATGGAGACTTACACAAAACTAAACCTTGCTGTGGATAGTTTTGTAGTGTTTCACCACTATTTGAATCCAGCAAATTTGAGTTCAGCTTCAATTCCTTTTCCTTTTCTTTTTTTTGTTCATAAAAGCTACTAATTTCTTACTTTGGCAATCCTTATTTTGTGACTTTTAAATTTACGACTCCATCATTTGTAACTTCCTATTTAACGGCTCTATATTTGACAACTTCTTACGTTTGCAGCTCCTCACTCTGCAGTTCCTTACTTCGCAGCTTCGTATCTTGTAGTTCCTTAGTTGCTGGAATATTGATGATATGCTAGATTTACTTGCTTAGTATGGGAAACTTAGCACCCAGGCAACCGTTCATCCTCAAAGTGTGGAAAATTTGACATCACAACTTATGGTAAGAGAATTCAATGGTTCGTATTTGTGTATTGGAATAATTAGTTAATTAGTAGCTTGGGTTAACATAGGTAACAATTTTTCTTTCAGGCATGTATACAGTATATGCAATCACGAACAAGTATAGATCGCATTCAAATGTTCACATACATTCATTGTAGTCATCAGTTAAACTGTAGTTTAAGCTGAAGTAATTTTTTTTGTAAACCATGAGGACAGCACAGTGGTGAATGTTGAGTTGTATCAGGAACTTCATTTTATTTCAGGATATATTGCAGAGAATTATTATAATACTTGTAAAGTCGTAGTATTACCAGCCAAAGATTCAGTTCAATATTCCCTTCTTTAATTCACGCTTCTAACTTTTATCAGGCGTAAGTTAATAATGCTGTTGATATTGTTTTTCAATGATGAATCATCTACCAGGTTTCCAGTTCTTCATATTTTGCTTCTAGATTTTTATTTCAATGTGACATTTTTACACTTTTTCAGAGATGGTTCGATTTAATAATTTCATACGCGTGAGTTGATCCGTTAAAGTTGCTCATATGAACTTTTCGAATTTAAAGTTGTACATCTGCTTAAAGTTGACTTCTTTTAATGATAAAATATAGTACAGTTGGGATGGATAGGTTTTATCCGTATATAAAGTTGATCTCTCAAATAGGCAGTTGTGTTTTCGTTTATCTTTGTTGATTATGTTGTTTAGGGTTGAAACAGCTTTCCTTCCAGGAATTTTGAGTAAGTCTTCTTTAGTTTTACTGTTGGAGTATAATGTGATGTGGGAATGTGATGTACGGAATTTATATCCTAGCGGTGTCACTTATACAGTTGAGTTGTATTTTCCTTATTGTCGTGCACTTACAAATTACAAGAAATACCTTCTCTCTCAATGTGTAATACTTAGCTATCTAAATACATAGTTACTTTTTTCCTTTTTTGTTTTTTTATATCGTTCACTTAAATTTTCAAAAAATATTATTATATACATATAATAAAGCTCTAATTTTTTGTATAATTGAAAATACACAATTTTTATGTAATAACTAGCAACTTAAATCTAAAGATATGCATTGTACGTATATTATTTGTGTATACGTTATTGTGGTATAATCATAAATTATTTACTTATTTGCACTCTATTTGAACTTAATTATATATCTTATAATATATCATTTAGATAATATATATTTTTAACATAATAATTTATAGAATTTTTTATACAAAAATAAATGATTACACTTATTGTGATAAAAAATTCGTGTATTCGCAAAACAGAAATTATAATCACAAACTTTTTTGTTTATAAATAATTATATAGAGTATATTCCTGATAAATGTTCTCCGTATAAATAAAATTTACATTTAAATACAATATAAATTTATTTAAAAATTAACAAAACAAAACTCAGTTCCTCAATTAAGGCCGTGTGCGAGTTTGGCTAAATTGATGGTAAATTGAAGGAAATAGTATATTATTACTGACATAATTATTAGTGGCAGCGAATGTTAGTATTTTGGTATTATGTTGGTATATTTAACAGATTTTCGAGTAGGGTAAATTAGATAAAAATCAGGTAAATTAGGTATTACCATTGTAGAAATTTTATAAGATGATTAATAAATAAATAAATAAATTTGAAAACTTTAAACCAAAAATAATAAATAAGTACAATAAATAAATGTTAACATAAATGCAGTGCAAAATATCCCTAGGAAATTTCAATTTACTTTAACTCAATTTACTCGAACTCGCACACGGTCCAAATGTAATTCTCGGATAAATGCACCAAAACAACGAAATTTTCATGAACGTATTGTTCTGTAATATATATATGTATATATATATATATCGGTTCAATAATATATTTTCCATATAACGCAGCAAATACTGCATATATATTTCTATAGATAAATACACAGATATTTATAAATGTAATTATCTTACATACCGTCAGATAAGAAGTCATACGGAAGATACATTATTGGATCAATTTGTGCAAGTTTAAACATGTCCATAGATATTAAATTTTAAAGTTATTTTTAATTTTTGTTGTAATTCACTATTGTAATTTATTATTTTAATTCACTATTGTTTAAAAAATCTTTCTATAAATTTTAAAATTCTTATCGCGCTTGTAGCTCACGTTATAAGGATGTGGTTTCGTATGTTATATTTTTATATTTTACATATATAATATATGCTATATATCTATATATATTAACATACGTAAAAATGTGATCATAATAATATTAGTATATTAGCGGATTTATCCGAGAAGCGGATTAATTTGCGAGATTTAGTTTTGTTTGTTTGTGATTAAATTTGTGGTTAATTTAAAAGTAAAAATACATTATACAATACAAATATACGTATTTTTACATATATTGTTATAATTTTCCATTTTTATGCAATACATAATGCATATTCCAATGCTAAACATATATATATATATAAATATAATTATAGAATCTTCTTAATTTTTAATTGTGCACAGCCCTAATTATATATATTACCTCTTAAGCAGCCCTGAGTTGAAGATTGTTTACGCATATTTTTATATTGATTATATAATTTCAAAATAAATAATATTGTAAATACTTATATAACATAAATATATGGCAGAGTTCTGTATTTATTTAGCGTACAGTATACATTTTGAAATCAAACTATAGAACTTTATAAGTTCAATTTTATTGTTATTATTTTATTTATAAACTGTTAGGTTAATTCGTTAATTTTATAAATTGGTTATTTGTACGAAGAAACTTAAAAAAATAATATTGGATCTATATTAAAACCATAAATAGAGTTTTAAGGAATACTGTACTCAAAATAAACTTTAGGCAGAAATAAACCTTTGGAAATCTCAAAAATAATTCGTTCACTTTCGAGACCAATTGCTGTAAAGCGGTATGCGATAGAAAGCAATTTCTTTTGAAAATTATGTTCTCAATATAATCACGTATTGATATAAAAAAAGAAATAAAAAAAAAATTTCCAAAAAAAAAACAAAACAACCTTTTTATAAATAAATTAATTTTAAATCACTACATTTCATAAATCCACTTAAGTATGAACATATATTAAGAATCAAACTAAAGCATATTAAATCGGCTGTAGCAAATGTATTATTATAAACGATTATTTTTATAAATACTTCTTGAGAAATAGTATTTTCGGATAATTCGGATAGTTTGTTCGAAACACTGCATTGCAATTAATATCAAAGATGTATTCAATACAACTTATGTTTTATCATACAATTAGTAAATACTCTATTTGACGGTAATAATTGTTAATTAAAAAAAGAATATTATATATTATAAATATAGTACACTAAAACATGTATTCTAAATAATTAAAACTAAAAATTTGATATCTCAAACAAAAATCATACAATAATTTACTTAATCACATTGACTTATCAAAATATATAACATACTATCATTACAAAATATATAGTTGGAAATGTTTTTATATTACAAATTGATAAAGACATGTTTTTTAGTTGTAAAAAGTGCATTCGAACCTAATTTTTTTCAAAAAAAAAAAACAAAATACATATTTTTTAAAATATAAATATTTTTTAAGAATACATAAATAATTTTTTTGGAAAATATAAATATTTTTTAGAAAAAAAATATTTTCAAAAGAACAAATAATTGCTTAGAAAAATATTTTTATTTCTTATATTCTTTAAAATAATATTAAAAAAAATATTTAACTTCATTAAAAAAATTTAAATTATTCTTAAATGTTTATTTATAAAAATTTCGTACATACATTTATTTTGTTTCATAAAAAAAATTTCGAGCGTACTTTTTAAAAATTAAGAAAAAATTCATTCGGAATCACTCTAATCTAATAATTTATTAATAAAAAGATTATCGAACAGTGATGATGCTTTGCATACAAAAAGTAAATAGTAAATACAAATTTTACAAAGCTAAATATAGAGAGGATATGTTTTTAATTACATTTAATTACATTCAAAATAAAAACTAATAAAAAAAAATTAAATAAGTTTCTTCATATCATTCAGAAAAAAAACTACATTTTACAATACAAAATCATCAAATAAAGTAATAATAATATAATTCTATATAACTCTATGAAATTATAAAATAAAAGCTATATTCTACATATTCTATATATAAAATACTAAATGCAAAACAATGCATGCAATATAAAATATATATTATACAAAAAATTCATATATAAAATCTATATTAGTGCATATATCATATATGAAACATAAAATATGTATTATACCAAATATTTATATATAAAATATCTATAACATCTATAACAATATTTATATTAGTAACTACATCACATATGAAAAATAAGATATGTTTTATGCATAATATATAACCTATCTATTTATAAAGGGTTGGTGTGGAAAAAAAAATATACACATTTTTTCTTTATGTAAAACCCTATTTTTTTGAAAAAATAAATTTATAATTTGAAAAATAAAATTATAATTTGAAAAAAAAAATGTTAATTAAATAAATCTCATTTAATTTTAAGTTTTTTTTAAATAAATACCCCAAAGCAATGAATTTAATTTAATTCATATAAATAAATTAATTTTTTTATTAAAAAAATATATAATTGCGATAATGTTAACTTAAATATTATCAGATAAATAGAGAAAAAAATTTTTATTCTATTTCCAAAGAAACGCATAGTGCAAATACTTCTAATATATATTTAAGTGTTAATATAAACAATATAAAATATACCAGTTTATATACATTAATGGGTTAATCAATGCTTCATTATAGACTATAATATTATAACTAAATGTTTTTTATATAAACAATATTTATACAAAGGATTTTTAAGACATTAACTAAGCCCAACGGCATAATTTATTTGAATTTAATTTAGTAGGGAAATTTATATACAGTTTGATATTTTCAATATATGATTCGTTACATTATTACTTAATAATGATTCTAGAAATTTTTATAAAAAACTTTTATTTGCCACTCTGAATCATGATAAATATTGAAAATAGACTCGAATGTCCTTTTTTTTTTATTTCTTAAACCACGGAAACATTTTCTGTTTTTATGCTACACTGTATTTGAATACGTAATATAAAATCTATAATAAAATATATTTATAATATAGCAAATAAAAATAGTAGAAATAATTATATATACCATAATATGTATAATATAAAATAAGTAATATAATTCTAAATTGAAGTGTATTTAATCCGTCTATAGATATTTGTTGAAAATTGACTAACAACCCTATTAAAAATTCGAAAAGTTCACTATAAAATATTTAAATTACAATACAGTTGTATATATATAAAAAAAAAACTATATAATTTAATACATATTATCTAATTTTATAACTACATCAACTATTGTTAAAACATTGTTTGAATTTAATATAGATAATTCAACAAAGCAGCATCACTTCTGTGAAATCTTATTAAAAAAAAGCAGAAAAAGAATTCAAATACGATTAAAAAAGTAAAGCGTTCTAGAAGAATTTTGAAACAAAAACACATAAATCACAGAACAGTGCCATATATGCATTATTTACAAACATAAGCTGTATTTAAATAAATTAACAACTGTAATAAATGTCTCAGGTAATTAACTAAAATTAGTACTTTAATTTATACAAATACTTATCACGCAGTCACAGTTTGAATCAGTGGTATAACGGTCATTATTTCTAATAATTCTTGCTGCTTGAGGAAAATGTTGTTGAAGATAGTTTCGATATCTTAGAATTTCGTTGTTCTTGGTGTTGTTTTTACATAGTTTTACGGACGGCATACTGCTGCTTGTAGATGTTGTTTAAATACTTATTATTCCATCATTATACTAACCTTTGGATTTAATATTGTTTCCATTTTACGCCGTTTTGAATCTATATATAAAAACTAATTAATGAAATGCTTTTTTTAAACAATAAATGTATAATTGCCTTTTTCGTAGTCATCCAGACTTTGAGTTCGACGTATTGATGAAACGGTACTTTCATTGGAGACAGAACTTAAATCCCGATCGCGCACATGTTCTCGCTCATATTCATTATAATGTTTATCTGCAATATCTCCAACTTCCACCATAGGTGTATTGTCACGACGTTTTTTACGAATTACATCTTTAGTACTAATACTCTCATGCTCATCATTGTAAATTTTGTGATCTCGAGAACGTTCACGTTCACGATCTCTATCCCGATCTCTTTCACGCTCCCTTTCACGTTCTCTTTCTCGTTCTCTTTCACGTTCTCTTTCCCGTTCTCTTTCACGTTCTCTTTCTCGCTCCCTCTCTCGTTCTCGTTCTCGCTCTCGTTCACGTTCACGCTCTCGATCACGTGCTCGTTCGCTTTCCCGCTCATCGATTTTATCTTTTTTCTTTAAAACGCGCGCTGTACTAGCAACTAACTGTCGATCATTCTGTAAATAGTCAAGGGAATCATCCTTAATTTCAATAGTCGTTACATTACGATTTAAAGATATCGTGCTCATAGCGTTAGGCGCATTCATATTAGTATTAAGCGAGTTTATGAGTTTCGCTTCACGCTCTTTTATGTTAGAGTAATTTGATAAAGCGTTACTAACATTGACATTGGATGAAACTGTAGAAATTTTAACAATTTTCGGTTTGTCCATCATCATATCTTTCTCCCGTTTATCTACTAAATATAAAAATTTTAAATTTGTGTTTAAATGATTATAAAATGACATGATTACCACTCTTGATTATAGTTAAGTTGGGAACCGGCTTAGATATTATAGTTTCTATTGCATTACCAACCGTTTGGTTAACAGATGCGGTAGTATTAATTGAAGCTTGCTGCATTGTGTTGGATGGCGGAACTCTTGGATTATTAGTTGAGTTTTGACTAACAACTGAACTAGCACTTGATGTACTTGGCTGCGGTCTATCACCAACATGATGGAAATCTGATTCCAGAACCATTTGTGCTGCTTTATGTTTCAATTGCCCTATATAACTTGTAGCAATTACAAATAAATCTGGACGTTTGTTTTTCTCTTCTTCTCTAACTTTCTCTACTTTTCGTTCTATAATTTGACCAAGTTTCACAAGAACGGGATAATATGGCAAAATGCGCATTAATATAATAAATGCATTGCGTATTTGCATATAATCCTTTGAATCTAAACAAAACACAATCGCTTTCGTGATTTTATAATGCCACTTATGACAGACGTGACGATAATTCTCATAACCAACATTATCATTGGCCTCTGAAAATTGATTACTAACACGAAACTTGGTAACAAATCCAGGATAAAGTGAACATTCCTTATTAAAAATATCCTGATTTCCATGCCAACGCATTACCATTTCTAAAAGCGCACAAAGAAAACGACCATAACGTGTAGCTTCATTTTCAGTACATGAAGTTAAACTTATTGTTATGTCACAAAATATCTAAAACAAAAGTGGATATTTATTAAATATATGGATATATTACATGGATATATGTCATTCACTTACTCTATCATAGCATAAAAGTGTAGAGAAATTAGCCGTTTTCAAATTATGTATGGTATGCACGAATTTAGCACAATATAGTGCGTCAAGGGCAGTAAAAGTACACCTATGAAATAAACAAAAAAAATCAATTTTGTAATTTTAATTAACAATAAAACATAAATATAAAAATAAATTACTAGACGAATATATACTATTTATATATATATAATATATATATCTATATAGTTCATTATATACATTATATTAGTGTATTAACCAGAAGAAATCGTATTGTTTTTGTAACAATATGACACAAAAATGAATAAGGATAAGCGAAGAGATGGACAGTGTCATAGGGCCACATTAAAGTCCTTCAGTTATGCATACATTCGGAATGGCCGTAGTTTTGTGTGAGGTTGAACTCGTACCCTGCCAAATTTGAAGTTCAGAGTCAGTGTTCTTTAGTCAACTGACCCAAAGCTATTAATTTGTTGTGGGACTTTATTAACAAACTACTTTTGAATATATAAATTTTAATTCTTAGTATTCTTAGCACCTTAGTATTAGTATAGTGCACTTAATTAAATTAAAATATTTTGATATGATAATCCAATTTCAGAAATTATGGCTTTTATAGGTACTAAAAAAAATAAATTTCTAAATAAAAGAACCCACCCCACACCATTTGTTACCTTTACCTTGGAAAAACGCACAACTGCAAAAACTGCGTTATAGTCTCATTTTTAGCGGATTTAGCGGAACGTGAAAGGAACCAAGTATCTTTCTGCTGTTGTAGTAGTTGTAAAATTTTATCGACATGCTCTTGTTGTTTCTTGCGCTCGTCCTGTAGTTTCTCCATAAGAGCAAGATATCGCTCATGTTCTTTCTTGTTTTTTGATGCATTCTAAATTATCAATCAATATACATACATGTAAAAGTAGATACACATAACTAATATTCATTAATTACTTTAATTACCGAATCTTTTGCGTCTGATATTTGTGTTGATAGTAACTTCAGTTTAGCAATTTCCTTCTGATAACTCTCTGTAGGCACTTGTAGATCATACATACTTAATGACCAAAATGTTACGAAAAATTGTGGACTTATATCTTCCCACACCTTTAAACCATGAAGTGGACGCACGGAATCAACTATTGGGTACCATATATCATATGTGGCATCCATATATTTTTGTTGTTTCTGTGTACTCGTTAATTTTTTGGCATTAGGATCGGCTTTACGTAACAAATCATACTTTTGCTAAATTTAGAGAATGAAATAATTTTATAAAAATATATTTTTTATTAATATACTTACATTTATTTGATGAGCAAACATAGGTCTTGCTAAAAAGAATGCTACATCAGCGTTAATGTGATACTCTTGCAACATGGCTACCACAGACGGTAAACGTTCAACATACTCATCAACAGTATACGTTGAACCCAAAAACGTACCAAATTGTACTAAAGTATCCTGGCATTGATCATACAATTTTCCGACAAGTTTTAAATGACTTTCAGCAGTTTCACGGTAAATTACGCAATGCTTCTGCTGTGCCATCAGCAAACAAATACCGACAGCTAAATCGTTATTGGCTAATGCTTCTTTTAAGCGTAGGGATGACTTCTTTGTGTTACGGACTTGACTAAAGTAACCAGCCTATGTAAAAAATGCAAAATAGTTTTTTTTATTTATTTTATTAATTCTTATTATAATGTAAACAAAAATATGTTAACCTCTCCGCGTAATAATTCACCGCCACACATTGCGTTTAACTGTTCATTTGTCATCTCTTCTGCCGACTCCACACCAGACATCTTCTGTACTATTTCTTTAAGTATTAACAAGTCCAAACTATTGTAATTAAATTTATTAAAAATAATTGACACATTAACAATTAAAATGTATAGAATTTACCTTTTTTGTGCTTTTAATTGATTTGCCACATATTGCAGTAAACCGCTTAATTCGATATTGTACTTTTTGAATACCGCACCACAGAAAGATGCTATATTTTGTAACCACAACGATATTGAAGTACCATCATGCTTTATTCGATTTCTGTCAGCCACTGTTAGGGTTTCAATTATAGAATATCCCAAACAATCAAATGACAGCGAATTTAAATACTTCAGGGAATCAACTACAGGACCTATTAAATTGTCATAAATTTGTATTTGCACTAAAACCTAAAAAAATTATAATAAAATCTTTACTATCACATATTGGATTATTAAAAAATATGTGTAATTACATAATCGAATAACGTGCCAGGCGTATTGTGACTTAACTTTCCAAACTGCCTTCCAACTGGCTTTACATTTTCTTTGCTTACACGTTTCATTAAGGCTTTAACTTTTTGCAATGCGTCACCCCGTTGGCGTATCAATACTGGATGTCTTTTATATGATTCATTTTTCCAATGTGCATATATACCATATCTGCAATAGAGCTCATACAATTATATTAACTTCACTCACAATAATGATAAAACAAATTACCGAAAATGATATGGCAGCATTTTTAAAACACTCCAAATTTCTTCGGCAATAGGACAATTGAAGTTTAAATAGGATAAAGCGGGCAAAAGGCATTCGTCAAGTACAGATATCACAGCATAATATAAATTTTCAGCTTCTTTGTCAACAGGAGGATTTAGATTATCGATGCCCATATTCACAAAAATTATACGAAACAACCGTATTAATTTATACATAAGCACAGTATCATAATAAATGGACGCTCCTAGTTGAATTGCCATCGGAAAGGCATATTTGCGCAATTCACTAAATGTGCGTGCCTCATATTTTTCAACCAACTCTTTATCTGAGTTAAGTGCTCTTTCAACACGTGTAGCTATTGAAAAGTTTTCATAGTATAAATGATCAAGACTGATATGAATTATGTCAGCTAATGCTACTACGATTCGTTCATTAATAATAACGCACTGTTGAGGTAATTTTTGTATAATTTGAAATGCATTCTCCCAATCCCCAACAAGTAAAAGATGTTCACAAAGCATAAATTTCTGATTCTTTCTATACGAGTCCTATATAAAATAATTAATATTACAGATTATTATATGTATTATCACATCAAACATTTTAAAAGTATACCAATTTTTGTTTTTCAATACTATTGTGTTGATCATCTTCTAAATTCTCTGCCTCAGTAGAAGTTTCTTCTTTGTCTTTATCTTTATTATCTTTGTCATTTTCTTTATCTCTATCCTTTTCTTTCTCCTTTTCTTTTTCTTTGTCCTTTTCTTTCTCCTTTTCATTTTCTTTCTCCTTCTCTTTATTTGTGCAAATTATATTTAATCTACGGCTATACTCTCTCGCTTCTGCTAAAGAGTTTTCCCAGGCGCTACGGATTTCTGCATCAGTGGGACTCAACTAATATACAAAACATATGTATTTTTAAATAATATTAAAATGAATTATAGAAAATGTTAAAACTTACCCATAAATATATCTCATTAATGTCGATTATTTTATGTTTTACTAGTAAGGCGCATGTATGATATAAAGAATCTGGAGTCTCTTCCTGAGAAAAATGGCGAAACTTGTATCCCATTAAATCGGTTATAATCGTATCGGTTGGCATATATTCATGTATAAGATCCACAAAGAATTTATGATACTCGGGACATGATTCAAGTGTTTCCAATATTATGTCGACCACACGATTGGGATCCAAGTTAAAGCAACCTTCAAATAAATATATTTACACATATAAATTGAATGTATATATGTATTTATAAGATATATTTTTCCAAATGATGTGCATGTATGTGGATTAAATTTAATAAAATTTATCAATGACCATATTAGAGTGCAAATGATATATAATAATACTGTTGATAATAATAATTAAAATTATAAAAATAAACCAGGTTCCAATAAGAACAACCACATTAAAGTAACCTTTCTAAGCAAGAAGTCATAAAAGCGTCGAAACTAAAGCTTCGAACTAAAAAACAAATAAAAAATATAGCTTCGTATATTAATATTTTAAATTTGTAATTTTTACATAAACTTTTACACATTATAACGAAAGTATAAAAACTAGCGGATTTAAAAAAATCCACAAAAAATATATTCCATTTAAAACAGATAATATTTAGAATTTTGAACACAAGTACTTCTTCGGAATCTGGCAATAGGTTTTTTATAATGATTGACGAGTAGTTCTGAGTATATGCCGATACTCATATATGTCAGTATTCCACTTAAGATAATTTTTAAAGAATATTTTTATGATTTATTTTTAAATAAAATAGAATGGATATGTTGCAATTTTATATTATACGGCAAATTTTGTTTAGAAATTTCAAATATTATAGAAGAAAAGGTATAAATATATTGGGTACTTTTATGTAAAAATTTCAAAAATTAATTTTTCAAACTAAATCAAAAGACCAACTTTACTATCTATGTGGATATTTATTTAGTTTAATTGACAACTAATCTTGAAACCTATTACTTAAATGATTTCAATTACAAAATAATATAGTTCATCGTTAAATGGTTTTTCAAAACGGCATACAAAATGGGTCAGAACACTATAAATGAACCATTAATATATTTCTTCCTAATTGCTTTTCATAAGTGTTATTTTACTTAGATTTTACGCATTTACATTGTAAAAATGTTTTTTCCTCAAATTTTAAGTTTTTACTGCTTATTGCAATTTTTAGTTTTTTGTAGTTGCTAGGCTTTTAGAGCAAACCACAACACTATGTTTACACTATCGCAATTAACAACTGTAGAGCAATAAGCATAATTTTTTATATGAAATTCCACACAAAATTTCATACAAAATATGCTAATGAGGTATGATAATTGTTAGTGTAATAACAGATTGATTGCATTCCTTATTATTGATAGCGAAAAAATTATTTTGGCATATTGTTTACAAAATAAAACTAAATGTTTTTTATTTTTCTTTTGTACATGAACATCAGATAAAAAAAAAAATTAACTATATTGCATAGGAATACATAATGAAAGCTTAGGAATAAAAAAAATCACATCATGGTCATTAATTATTATACTAATATACTATGCAAATATAGAATAATTGTTACAATTACTTACCTATTAATGATTTTAAAATATCCATGACTGAATCAGCAGTGATCTCCTCATCAAAGTCTGGATTTAATTCTACAACTAGTTTTGCATATCCTTCAGTTTCTTCGCGGAATAAATTATAGCGACGTTGTTTATAACTGAAAGTTAATACAAGTTTCAAATTTGTTCATTATGTTGAATTTTTCATCACATACTATAACTTTGTTTTGATTTTAATGAATTTTGTGTAGAACACCCTTTTAACAATACCAACATCTTGTAGTGTATCAATCTCTAAACGCTCCTTGATCAATGCTTCAGGCACAATTCTATCAAGATCTTTTAAAATACGTAAAAATGCATCACGTTGTTCTGGTACCTCCTCAACAATAACTAAAGTTTCTGCATCGACCGCGTTGAACATATCTAATACTAACGGGCCAAAATCTTTATGCAAACTCTATAAGGAAAATATATAATATATTGATACAGAAAATAAAAAACTATAAAAAGCATTCTATATTATTCATTTACTCACTATAACTTCAGCAAGTGTACTTAAAACACTTTCTTTCTTTAACTTAGATTTTGTGCCATTTATTAATAAATCGTATAGAGCATCCGATATGGCACAATAATTGGATTTCGTTTTTTTATTTAGTTCATAAATGTCACCTTCCGAGCGTTTAAAAAGCATTCTCATATGTTTTAAACTACAAAACATAATCGATTATAATAATATGCGGCTAATTAATTTTATTCTATACATACAATTCAATTCTTCCATATTTATCATAGTTGTCGTAAATATCAGGATTTAGTTTAGGCGCTTGACGCATAACAGCATCTAGCTCGGTTTCTCTCTGTTCATCAATTGCATCTAAGGCGGCAGTAGTTTCTTTTACACTATTAACTATTTTTCGCACATCGTCCTCAATATCGATATCTGTATTTTGAACACATTGTTCGTGTAAAGTAGAGTCACTTAAAACTGGCACCAGATTCATTTCAAAACTGGCTGGAGAATTGTTACCAGAATTGTTTTTACCAGAATCACTCAAAGACGTATTCACAATGCATCCCTCACGCGTTTCAGTCGATTCATTGCTATCTGAATTAGTTAATTTGTTTAAATTTTCTTCATTACCGGTTTCAAGATCAACTTCTGCGTCTGTAGTTTTGCTCCTTTTTGCTGGTAGCATTTCTTGGGATGATATTTACAGCAATTTGTTTTCAATTCGTATAAAGCGATATAAAACATATACTTCAACTTTTAATTAACATTCATTAATATTGAAACAACTGATATTTCTGGAACTAATATTAAGAAAAAAAATGTCGCCCTTTCTTAGAATTAAATTATAAAGAACCAAACTTCAGCACAATTTTATTGCCGTATAACTCAAAAAAAAATCCTTATGTCGGTTTTGACATAACAGGGATGTTACAATAAATTAGAAAAAACAACGCTATGAAAATGTAAAAAATTTCTCCATTCACCATAAAAACTGTTGTCATTTGTAATAAATTGCGTTTTCAATTTAAAAAATATTATATATGAAGACATTTTATCAAAAGAAGTATACAATATTACTAAATGTACGTACATATTGTATTTTTAATTGAGATCGGACTAGCAATATTTTAAACATTTCAAAAAAATTTTTATAAATTTTAGTTTTGTGTAATTCTGGTCTATACTGGCTGAAGTAAGTAAGTAAAACAACAACACTATTTTTTCTATCTAGGCCAGTATTTGTTTACTGATCAAACACCTCGGCCAAACACTATTAACGCAACTATTGTGAACCTTCATTGCAAATTCCAACGAATATTGCAATCATATGAAAACAAAAATTCAAAAATTTCATTAATTTGAAAATTAGGAATAAAGTATAATTTTACTGTTTAATTTTGAAATTTCACACATTCATTAAATTCTGCATTCATTCTAATTTTCAGTTTTATATTAACCATTTCTTTTATACAAAATGTGATTTACTTGCATTACGTGCACATATGCAAGATTTGCTATTTTCCATAACATGACACTTGACAGTTTGCAACAGTAATATCAATGTCTCGCTTAGCGAATATAGGCCAGCATGCAATTTTTTCCACACTTGCGAGCCACCGATAACGCCTAATGTTAAATTCAGTTTTAGTAATTTATCAATTTAAATTTACTTAAAATAATATGATTTTACCAGTATACTAAAAGAAAATTCGCGTAATTGTAGTAGATTAAAAACATGTAGCGGTGCGCGGGCAGTGCTTTGAATAGCCTTGATATAGACGATGCTACATGTCTGCACACCAAGTACGCAGATCAAGTATGCACTTTCCCATACACTTTGTAACAAGGTATGCATATTTCCTTTTCATTTATCTTCTACAGCGTTCATAAAACAACTGTGGAGTAAGCAAAGAGTGCAAAACAATAATCGAAACTAAAGAAGAATTAAGGTGGTAATAATAGCAACGTGTAATATATTTTAATATATATAGATATTTCATATTTCTTAAAACTAAATATAATTTATTTTAATTCTTAAAATTCAAATTCTTTTTAATTTAATTCTTTAAAATTATGTATTTTAATAATTTTATTCACAAAATAATTTTTTAAATATATAAACTTCTTAAGTAATTGTTTATAGCACTTCTTTTTAAATTTGCTTTTTAAAAAAAAACCAATTTCTATATTTTTTTTAATTACTTTTCTTTTGTTTTTTCTTTTTTAATAATTAGACCGATCTTCGCTAGTCCGACGCTCTCTAAAATTCTTAGATTATAAAAAGTCTGCAGACTTCGATATACATAAACAGACATGTGTGCAGTCTTAACAAATAATTGAAAAGTTTTAATTTTATCCTATACATGTCTGCAGACCGAAATTTTTGATGCATACTGGAATATACACAGTGCGATTTGGATTGAGAATATGGAGACTAAATTTAAAATTATAACAGTACTTTTATTTTTGTAGTAAAGAACTATGAACGTACGTATTTGTTTCTGTGGCCCTCCAATCTGTACAGTGATTCGTCCGCGATCACATCTAGCCTGGACAGCTCTGGTCTATATCATGATTAAGTGACTAAGTGAACCCCTCCATATAGATATATGTGTTTCAAAACAAATGAAATACAAAGGGTATAACATATTACTGCCAAAAAATAATATACAAAAAAGAATATTAAAGCAAGTAATAGCGAATAAAAGAGCCATTACTAATATTTAAAATATTAGTTAATTTGAAAAATAGGCAGAAGTTAGTTCATTTTTCATACAAAATCCATTCAATAATGTGGTAATGAAATTAAATAATTGTTAAGTTTAAATATTTCAAGTCTTGCTTGTTTTTTTGAGTTTAATAATATTAAATATTAATATAATTATTCTATGGTTTATTATTATCAGAACTTTCAATGTTACACTATGTTCAGACACACCTTAATTTCACAAACATCTTAATTTCATTTTCGTTTGAAGTCATTTTTTTCCATATAAAATTCAGTTTTAAGGTTAAAACGATATTAAAGATAATGCCTTTAATTTCATTGAAACATAGGCTAATATTAGCCTATGGCAAAAGATAAAGTTGAGATAACGAAAAAGTGAATATCATCCTTTAAAGTTATTATAATTAACTTTTAAAATTTCCCAGATACAGATAGTATTAGAAGCATGTAATTTTTAACATTCGATTTGTAAACAAAAAACACACGATTTCCTTAGTTTAGGGCCGTATGAACACTTTCAAAATGAACTTAGTTTCGTTTTTACGAAATTAAGAAAATTTGGCATATTCATTTTATGCGCATTCAGCCTTTCAGCATTTTAAAAGCAATAATAAAATCGCTTGTTTTTAAATACAGCGGATACAACCATGTGTTTTATTACAGCGGGTAGTCCTGAAGACTTTTTGACCAAAAAACACAAATATAATTTTATAACTAAATTCTTTTACACTAATAATAACTATTTCATACAAAAAATTAATATAAAACTCTATATAAAAAATAATTCACAAAATATTTACATTGAAAAAAATATTTTTTATAAGAAATCAATTTTGCTTTGTGCGTAATTGATGTTAGTACTGGATTTCAAACAGAAATTTTACATATTTTCATTTAATATAAATTATTTCCGTAGAAGCGAATATATAATTAATTACAACAAAGTACAATATCATCATGCATATGCAACAACATACTATATCTTAAAAATATGTCAAACTACACATGAAAACGTATACCATAAATATATTTGTTTTAGCGGGAAATTTGAACACAGCTTTTATTTATACCAATAAATTTGTCTGTCCATCCGACCAGTTGGTCATATTTTATTTAACTAAAACTATTACTACACCAATGTGACTTAGAACTGAATAAATCTGATGCACTGAAAACTCTTAAACTTTTAGATTCTCAGATTTTTGACTGTAATAGTTGATTTGAGTGATTTTATATAAAAAGTAAAAAATTGCGATAATTTTTTTTTTAATTATAATATAAATTCTTGCATATATACCCATTATAGTATGATCCATAAAATATTAAACAAATTGCAAAATTTAAATAAAAAAACTAAACTAATAAAGGGTGCTCTAATTAGAAAAATGCTTCGAAATAATTCAATCTCTGCAGCTGTCCTTCCCTCTTTCATCAAACTCTTACTCATAATAAATTTTAATATACATGTTAGTTTGTATTTTATTTATAAATGCAGATGTGTGAACTCTAAAGAACAAATTTTGCGAACAAATAAATAAAAAAAAACAATTCTATTTTGCATATCTGCTTTGCTCAGTCAGTTCTTTAAGAAGTGAGAATAAAAAAGCGTTCATGTGCCATCTCAAGTAGAAAGGGTTCTGTTTATTGACATGATAACCTGTGAATATTCGTTCGTTTGCAGGCGTTCGCTTTGGTGTGGATGCACCTTAATATATCAATAATAAAGTGAGGTTAATTTAACATAGACCGTATGTTGATATACAAATCAACTCACATTCAGAGACAACTATTACTTATAGTAATAACTTTTAAGATTTTAGGAGGAGCGAGCTACATTAACCACTCTTTTCAATTTTTTCCTCTCTGGTATTATGACTGTTAAGTCATTTGGAATTCTAGTTACAGTTAAAGAGATCCCATTTTCTACTTTCCTTAACTCTGCCAGACCGGTAAAGAACTTTTGAAGTCGCTTTGGGTATAGCCCTGCGTAGAGACACAAAAAATGTTTAAAACACTCCACTATCTCTGAATCATGACAGCTTCTGCATAGTCCGCTTGTCGGATGTCAATAAAAAACATAAAGAAAAATATGTTTTTATATAATATTTGTTAAAAATATTAAAAATTAAAGCAAAATATTTAAAAATAACCTATCTGAAATGTCACATACAATATATTGGACGTGCCACCTCTTTGATAAGACAATATATCGATATAGACAAAGCAGTTATGAGAGTGTTTGCCACCAGATCTGCGCTTGCAATGGATATAATCGTGAAGAAGAAATCAAAAACCCGACTTAATATCTTATCAATCAATCAATCAATCCAGTACGTTCCCATGGGAACATTGGGCCATATGGTTAATATCTTATAGTGGGACTTAATTCCCAACTAGATGAGGTAAGCATAAAAAAAGAAGGGGCGAATAAGTAATTTATAGAAAATTAATTAAATCTTATTATTTAATTAATTGTGTTAAATTTTAACACAAATTTAATAAGAATTTCATTCAATTTGGTATTTTGAAATATTCAATGTTTGTTTTGAATCGATATTGACATTTGTTTTCTAATCTGTCTAATATCGTAAAAAATCTACGATAATAAGACATCTGTAATTAAAGAACTAGATTTGCACTTTAACCTCAATGATTTTTTTAATCTACTGTTAATCTCACAATCACGGTTGCCACTTGAGAATTTTTTTCTGTACCAAAATTGGTTTAAAAAGGTACCATTTCTGTAAAAAAAGGTCCAAAATTTTTCTATTGTCTTTTTATAAGAAAATACAATTTATATAAAATGTACAAAAAGTATAAAACAATACAATATCCACAATAAAGTTGGGTCGCCGAAAATGTACCATTTTTTGAACATGAGTACCAGAGTACCAAACGGAAAAAAAAGTACCAATTTTGGTACTAAAGTACCATAAGTGGCAACCGTGCTCACAATGTAAACGTAGTATAACCAAAAACATAGAAATTAGAAATATAGAATATTTCTATGTTTTTGCTTTCGCTGACAAGAACTACAGGGCAGGGCGTACGATATTATGTATACCTACTGTGCTGTGCATAAACTACTTGATTACTTTTATTTTTTAAAAATGCAAGAATATATATTTATTTTACAAGCTTATTAGTAAATTCAAGTTATCACTTTTAAAATTCTCAAGAACTTGGGAAATTTATTTTCTTGATTAGTGAAAGCTAGAGAGGTAATTATTAGTCTCATTAGTACATTAAAATTGGTCTAAGAAATTATAATAAATAAATCGTTAGTTCGTTAATGATTCTGACCTAACCTAACCTTATCACTGATTTTTTAAAATTTTTAACGACATATAATATTTAGTAAATCCTACTTATTAACAATTTGAGTGTTAAATAATCAGCCTTAAGCCTAGTTAAATTAAACTTTGTTGATATATATTTTATATTAATAATGAATTATTAACACATATTATATTCATAATTTTAGTTATTATGCTTATTATGAATATAATAAATTACAATAAATAAACTACGTAATTTTATTTAAATCATTATCTAATATTTTATATTATACAATATATAGGACTTTGAGTTTTTGGGTTACCTTTGGCTGTGGAACCCTTAAAAAATTTTTTGTCTGAAGCCACCGCAAAGTATATATATATTAAGAAAATGACGTTCTGTAAAATTCTGAGCACCTGCTACGGATGACGATAATGCTACATCGAATTGTGAATTTTGTGGAGTTTTGGCGTCTTTATTGTGACTACCCACCCGGTCGTGTATCGTACGACGTAACGATTTAACAAGCAACCCACAAATTTTGTTCATCGTATGTGTTTGGATGCTATTTCAAAATATGAGAAGTTAAAAGTGTAGGAATATGGGTAAATTTTTGATGTATCAAAAAGGTTAAATTATAGCTAAATTCTTAATTTGTTTTATTGGTTATAATTGCTGTTTTTTACTATACACATAAATAGAAATATATCAACAATTAAAGATACTCATTTCTCCCGCAGGAGTTAAGGTATCAGCAGTGCCTTTTCTCAAGAACGGTGGGATGCTACGCATTCCAACAATAACTATTAAGGCACTGAGAAGCTTTTACGATTAAGAATTTTTGTTTTCAGTACTACTATAACCAGTAGGTGGTATTATTTCAAGGTACGAAAAAAGACATCGTACCAAACATTCCAAATAAATATTTCAAATATTGTAAATATAAATATATGTTATTTATTGATAAATCCAGATCGATAGTAAACAGTTGATTATTATTATTATTAGAGGTGTTGCACTGCGACCGTCGGGTCTATTGTGCTCCCTTCTGTGTTCAGATTAGGTCTCGAAAACCTATTTCGTCCATAAAAGTAGTATAGAACATACTTTACAGAATTTTATTGCCTCTTCCGTAAGAATATACATTCCCAGGTCCTATTCCGTATGTACATTAGCGCAGGGCATTCTAACAGCACATGTGTGGCCGACTCCTCATTCTCTTCACAGAATCTACAGTTTGCATCTGTATATATACCCAGTTTTGTAAAGTGGTATTTTAGTTTACAGTGCCCTGATAGGATTCCTGTGATAATTCGAAGTTTTTCTATTGATAGGTACATACAATCCTGGTAACTCTTATTGTTATAGGTACCAATAACTGATTTGGTTTGTTTTAATCCTGGTATATTATCCCAGTAATCCTTTTTATACTGGTTCTCCTTTATAAGAGAAAGGAGCGTATTACGTCCTAGTCCACAAAAAGGTTCCGGCCCTGTCATCGATGTTGCTACTCGTTTCCTGGCTAGTCGTTTCCTCGTATTAGTTTCCGCTTACGCTAGTATGTCCCAGTACCCAAAGACTCGATACCTAATTTGATTCGCAAAGCAGATTTAGCTTATTAAAGCAGTTTAGCACCAGTCTTAAGGTCACCTAATGCGAGTTTAGTGTTTTGATCGTCGCTTGGCTGTCTGTCAGTATTGTGATATTTTTACCCTGGTAATTCCGCTTAATAGTGATGAGTATGTACTTTAAAATTGCGTAAATTTCCGCTTGGAAGATGCTAGTATTTTTTCAAAGCGCTTTCCAATGTTTCTTTCCTAGTCCGACTATGCCTGCTCCGGCAGAGTTGATACTTTATTTTCAAAAAAAAACTATAACTATATATGCATCTCTAAATTTTTATTTATATACTTTTAATTTCATACTATGTAGTTTACTTGTGTTCTTATGATGTTATTACTATTATTCTACTAAATTAGAGAAGACAGTTGAAATATATGAATAAATAATGGTTGACAGAGAATGACATCGATCGGGTGCTAGTTGTCGAAAACTTTAACAGATTGATTTGAATGTTAGATGTGAATGTGAATAGGAAAATAGGAAACTTTTTTGTTCTTCAGTTTTGCATCCACCATATTTTCAGCACCCAATTTTGCTTAACCAAAAGATTGAGGTAAGCTGGTAGCATTTGATATCAATTGCTTGGATTCAATATTCGATATTGCATTGATTGCGTCATTGCTTTGAGTATCTTCAGACCGGGGAATTAAAAGTAAACTTTCACGGTCACTAAAGGTGCTATTATTATCCTTTATAACTGTGATTGAACTGGTTAAACGCATGCTATCGTCTGAATTAAATTGAACACTTTTTGAAGCGGTTTGCTTCTCCAATTCTACCAGTTCGATTTTCTTCTTCTTCTTCAGTTCATTTTGTTTCTGAAATTATAAAAATATTATTATTTTATGTTAGTTTCTTAATCAACAAAAATTGTAATCAATTAGGTAGCTATTTATATAGAAAAAATAATATAATAATATTAATATGTTTTTCTTAAGAGTAGTTACAATTAATGGATTTGGAAAGTTTAATTTATATCTAAATTCCACTGAAATATTATTGTTTTGAGTAAAGAAATTATAGAAAGTAGAAATGGTATTGGAATTAATAACACAAGTACAATAAGACAATACAATAATACGAGTACATTACCAAGGATTAATCTTATACTGGATTTACACGAGAGTTTTGTTTGTAATTTTAACTGTCACGTTTGTTATTTGAGCTGTCAATTGTTGTTGCTTTCAAAGGAAAATAAACATTTTTGACAGCTCAAATATAAAAGAAAACTTTCGTATGAATCCAGTATAAGTATATACCTATGGTAACCAGTTGAATGAACCTATAAACACATGACAGAATGCGGGTCACTATAGAAGAGAATGAGACTTTTGTCATATTCTATACGACTACCATGTCGTATATGTAAAATATGAGATTTTACAGTGATAAAAAGTTTTGACCACTACACAAATCAAAAACTTTTTGACAAAGAATAAAATACAGGTCTGCATTAAACAGAGCGCATGTCTACTATTCCTAATAGAAGAAAAAATGTTTGTGAGAATCAAACACTTTTTTGTTTTCTTCTACTAATATTAAATATGCACATAGTGCCAAAACATAGCACATCGTTTAGGGTATTCAATTACTTACATTACTTTCACCTTCAGCTATGTTTTTATTATTATTGTCGAGAATTGTAGTTGATTTGACATAAGACATATTATCTTCTACATTAATTTGTGTACTCGTTGATGCAGTTTGACTCTCATTGGCGATTGTTGTTGATGATTCCAATGGGTCAGTCGGTTTAATTTGATTTTTCATTTCATTTTTTTTCTGAAATTGTCACAAAAAATTAATTTCTTAGTCAACAAAAAATAAAAATCTTTTGTTGAATGAGAGTTCTTGATTTGAAGATAAAAGAGCTTGATGCACTTCGAAAAATTTTGGGGTCCATAGTCATGCTTTTTAAAATCATTGGTGTCATAAGATAATTTGATATTGATAACAGTGATATATATAAGGGGTATTTACTCTGTCTTACAAAATCATTGCAAGGTACATGAAATGCACAGATTGAGCGAACTTGCAATGGATAACAACAAAATACAAAGTATCTTGCAATTACTTACAATCCTGCTATACCTAAACCTAAGTATATATGCTAGCAACGAAAAAAAAAGGAAAAAAACCAGTGGTCTTGACATCTGTTGCTTCTTATGTGGTTGTGGTATGCTGCATAAACAGCTGTTTTTATTTTTATGTTGTAATTCTGCAAAATAGGTGTTCTCGCACTCTTGCAATTTTAATATACCATTCTTGCATTACGTACACCTTGCAATGATTTTGCAAGACCAAGTGTGTATCTCTATAGTATACGTGGCTGTGTGCTGTACACAGTTATAATAAAAGCAGAGAAGTCTACAAAACTAAATAACACAAAAAATAGTGATATCACTTTTAATAGAAAATTAAAAAAAATTATAATACTTACTGGATCTACCTTGCAAACCGCCAAAGTAGTGGCTACAACATTTGCAAAGTCTAGTAAATCCTCTGCATGACAGGTACCATTATTTTCTACTAACACATCAAACAATAACCAAACAGTCCATGGAACTGGTGCACTAAAATAGTTCTTCAAACAAGATGTAATCATTGAATTTTTTGTTTTCTTCTTAGTTCCCATATTAAGGAAATAGCTGTTGAGGCTATCGTATGTATCGCGATCCATTATTTCAAAATAGAATTGCAGGAAAGAGAATTTAACGACACGCCTACTGTTTACAAGATCTGCCAAATGGAATTCAAAATCCATACACTCGTGTCCACCGCCAGCTTGCCACAAACGATAGTAATCACCTTGCAACCAGTTTAAGAGAGCCAATGTAGTTGGAAAATATATACGCGGCATATTATCATATGTAACTGTTAAGAGACTTTCCGCATTATACTTTTCTATGTTATACTGCTCAATGGATATGGCCAAGATGTGCATGTTTAAATCCCGAACACGTTTCTCAACTTTTGTGACCAACAAGTGAGTCATCAAACCCATTGGACATTCGCGCAATGTACTAAACCGTACCAAACATGATGGTTCCTTTCGTGTCAATGCATCATCGATTAACTTAAAAACCTTATGCTTAATCGCATTCTTCGATGCATAATCAATATGATCGAAACGAAAATGTCGCGATATACTTTTCGTGCGATTACCCAAAAGCTTAGCTTCTGTTGTTAGAATCAATCTGTATTGGTCGATCAGTTCCACCTTGTGCTTTACTTTCCCGCGCTGCTTTAGACCGTGGGGTCTTCGTTGTTTGTAAGCAAGCAGTTCAGCTTCATTGTCGTTCAGTTGGACAATGCATTTAAAGTCTGCTACCATCATATTTCAACAATTCAGTATTTTCTAGATGTAGCAGAAGATTTGGTCTATGAGAATGTGTTTTTTAAAATACTTAAAAATTTTGCAGAAATTTCTATTTAATTTTTTAACAAAAGAGCCCAAAAAAAACTTGCATAATATTGTGTATTCACATATTTCAAAAAAATTATTTCTGATGTCTATAGTTTTTTAATTTCAAGCAAACTTGATTTAGAAATATTGAGATATTTAAAACAAATCTTTTTAGATTTATTAATTTTTTCATAACTACTGGTTCGAAATTTAATTATTGATTGCTGAGATTTGTGTGTAAAAACGCATGTCCCAAGAATTGACCTATCTCTTTCCCTCTTTGTTTCACTTACTAGATTCATACTCTGGTAGTAGTCTCGAACACGCTCTATGGACTGAAAAATAAATTATTTGTCAAATGCTATTCTTAATACCATATAACATGCATAAACAGGTTAACCTACCTAGTAACACATAGTTCACTTTTTTGTAAACAGTTTTCGTTGACTGCTATGGATCCCATCATTATCAGTCGGCATATACACTGGTTAGAATTTCGCAAGATTCTTATGTTCTAACACAAATATATATTATTTTTGAACCAAAATATTACTGTTTTCAAACCAAAATTTTTATGTGCTGGTGAAAATGTAAGAGTGTGATATAAAACCTTGCCAAGATCTTGTCAGTGTAGACTCAAGGTTAGATATCTGCTCGACCAGTTGTAAATAGCATTTTTAATGTGTAATATATTTTTTAATTGATTGGAATTCTAAAAATAAGATCAACAAACGTTAGAAGCTTTTGTTGTAGCTTAATCTGAGATTATATTTCTCAGTAAATTCAAAAATGATTCCCAAAATTTTTGTAAAATTTTATTTAATAATTTTTAATATATTAGTGCCATTCTATTATAAAAATTTTGCTTGCGTACTTTAATATACTGACAAACACCATGTTCTTATTGTTTCATTTAGGCATTTTTGCTTATTAAGGCCGCAAACGAAGATAATTTAGCACACTAAGACTTATATGTATATAAATGAGTTTATTAAAAATAAATCAACTGATTTAGAGTGAAAAATGTCGAATGCAACCGTTAAAAATAAATTTCTCACAAGGAAAATTATCGAAATTTGAGATATTTGTCATCTCAGTGAGAGTTGATGCCAATGCTCAACCACGGTTTCTTCATTCGTACTAATCGCTTCTTCTGTATGGTTGCACGTTGATTTGATTGTTCGAGCTAGTTTTGGACTCACTGATTTGTATGTTTTAAAGGTTTGTTTAATTCTTTTCTTACTCCTGGTTTTTACAAGAATTTGTTAAAATTGTGATCATTGTTCAGCCTTTGTTTGGATTTGGAAATGTTTCGATGTTTCTTTATACCTTCCAAAAACTACTTTCCATTATTGTAAGTTGATTTGACAGCTCAAACAACTTTCAGACTGTTTGGTGGGATTGGATTTGGATTTGTAAAGATTCTGATGTTTCTCTATCCATTCTGACTATTACTTCTACAAAACTGCAAGTTGATTTGATGGTTCGAATGACTTTTTAACCCATTAATTTTCATGTATTTTAATTTTATTCAATTCTACCACTTTTTTTTTTCTCCCGCTTGTTATATGTTAAGTATCTGTTGAACATGTCATTGCTTAGTTTCGGTTTGTATTTGAAATGATTTTGATTTTTTTCCATCCATTTTGATTACTACTTCCACTTGGTGACTTGAAGATTAATTTTTAGAACATTTACATGTTTTTCAGGTTAACTTGATTCTTTATTTGAACCCGGGTCTTGAATAGAATTGAACTGATGTTAACTACTTCATAGTATATATGACGTTATTTATACATTCTGCTATTACCGTGTCGTGGTTTAGTATAATATTAATCTTTCTTTTCTCTACCTTGTTGTTTTTGATCATTGCTTAGCCTCGGTTTGAATTGAAAGGATTTTAATGTTTCTTCATCTATTCTAACTGCTAACTGCTATGTTTTCTCATCTATTGTACTTTCTGCTATTACCGTGTCACTGTTTAGCAAGGTATTAATCTTGATAGGTCATATTAAAAACGTTTTCTCTTAAGACACTTTAATACGAGCATAATAAATTTTAAATTTTTAATAAAAATTTGAATAAAAAGGTTTTTCGAACAGTAGTGAACTACAACAACAAAAATTCTTTTTATATTACTTTAATTAATTGAATTTTTGGCTGACCATACAGCTGTTTCGAGTATTGCCAAATACCCATCATCAGTGGTCTTGAAAAAATGTTAATAAAATCCTTCCAAGAAGAAAATAGAGTTACCAAAATCGGGTATATTATTAATGGTAGAGCCATGGATTACTCATGTATTCTCAAAAATAAACGAGAGCAGTTTATTTCTATGTACCACCGGTCCGCAAACTCTGGTACAGAAAAGTTTAAAACTGCCTGTGTTATTATTGTTAACTCTTCTGTTGCAATTACTCTACTATAAAAGTTAAATATGCTAAAATCTGTAGCTGTATACACACACAATATATACAGTACAAAGTAAAAGCTAGTAGGTATTTAGTATGAAGTCAAACGGTCTCCTGCTTTCTTTTTCGCAATTTCTGTTCGCCTATTCAGTCTGTTGTCGAGGAAGTACAGACTTGAACGTACGTGTATAGAAAATGTTGCCAGTACAATACGTACGATATTCCAAATTTTTTTTTTGTTTTCATTTTTATTATACATATGTTTTTTATTTTGTTTATGTGTACAGAAGCTGACATTGTTCCTCGTATGGCGGCCACAAGGTATTTATTTTATTAACAATTTAATAGATTTCTATGGATTTGTAAAGTGTTTAAAAAATCTGCAAATTTATGAGCTCCTGCTATGATTCAGCAATGGAAATATAATAATAATAAATTATAATTTTAGTAGGTGAATTTTTTAATTATTAACTTAGTTTTATTTTTATTATGGCAGTCGTTAGCATTTTTCGGTATTCATTTTCTACAATATTTGATATTTGCAGCAATTTAACGATACAATATGACCAGAAGCATCTAACGACAACTGCCACATCCACTGACTGCTTGCCCTTCAATTTTTCGCTCAGCCAACTTTTGTGCGTCAACTGCATTTGTTGCACACACACACGTGCTATTTGGATTCCCATAAAAACATTGCAGTTTACTTTTGTCCTTTTCATTCAAACACTTATTGCTTTTATTTTATTTGGTTTTATAAAAGATCTTTCAACAAATTGAATGTATAAAATATGAGATAACAGGCTTCAAGCACACCAAGCAAACGTATTTATGGTGTATTTTTTTTATTCGATGCTGTCTCATCGTCTTTCGCTACTCGTATTCAACATTGTATTTAAAAGTAAATAAAAATAAAATAAAATTTTTTTTTGACTTTACTGCAGCCTCAATACCGCAAATCAAAGATAGTTTTGTCATAAATTCATTAATAACTATTTACTTCCCAAATATTCTTATCAAACATAAACAACAACAAGGATAGAAAACGTGCGGCATTTGGAAGAAATGAATCACATACTGACCAGACAAAAGATTTAGCACTTTCCTAAATGCACGACGAGTAGTGTCAATCTTCTAACTTTCATTATTACTAGCTTTAGTCACTTTTCATGAAGGTATATGGTATATATATAAGTGACTAAATAAGATGAAAAAGTTTGTTATTTAGCGAAAATAATTTAAAAGCTATGATAAGTTCAGATTAATTCCCCAATGGTATTCATAAAATAACGAGTATCATATTTATTTAACACAGTGCGTCTTTTACTAATAAAATTAAACTGTTTTGTGCATGCAGAAGCTTTCCTAGAAGGCTAATGCAGAAATCAGGGATGATGTCTCGAATGACTATCTAAACCGTACAAGGTACTGTATTGATTTAAATAGGACTATTTCGAATATAATAAATTGATTTTGTCAAAAAAGAAATCGTTGTTGTACAAAAAATTATTAGAAATTCTCATATGTATAAAATTCGAAAAAAAAAATCATTTACGAATAATTAAATACAAGAAATAATTCCAAGATGGGTGAGATGATGATTCATGATGATGGGTATTTGGCAATACTTGAAAAACATACATTCCGATTTAGAAGCCGAGTTGGAGAGAATAAGGCAGAATTTAATCTAAATCCAAATCCAATCCAATCCAATTTAACACATTATTGAGGAAAAAATTATATAAAAAAATGACACGAGTAAAAATCGTTATTAATTTAATACTTATTAACAGTGGCTTTTAACAGTAATGAAACAGTTAATAAAAATATATATATAATAACAAATAAACTAAACCCATTGTAGCAGTTCAAAGTACATTCTATAAGAAAGAATTATATTAAAGAACATTTAAAATAAATAAAAAAAAACAAATTAGAAACACAATTAAATTTTGTTTTACGATTAATTATGACAAAAAAATTAATTTCTAAATAAATAATTTTTTAAACAATAATAAATTACAAAAACAAGTTTCTTATTATCAATTAATAGAATTGTTTGGCAAACCAGAAAGCTGTTTTAAATATTGCCAGATACTCATTATCAGGTGTCTTTGAAAATATTCATTAATTTTATAAGTCCATACAGACTTGTTAGACTACAAGTGCTAGATTTAATACTGGATACACATGAGAGTTTTATTTGTAATTTTAGCTACCAAAAATATTCATTTTGCATTGAAAGCAACAACAATTGACAGCTTAAATTACAAACATGACAGTTCAAAAGAAGGAAAAAACAAAGCTCTTGTGTGAATTCAGTATAAAAGAAATAACTCGCGCTTCTTCGGTAAAAAAGTAAAGTCTGGTAATATAGAACTTAATAAAGAGATAAGACTTATCTTTATTTAAAATATAACAAGTAAATGTTTATGATATATATGAGTATTAGTTTCGCATTTTTTATATTTGTATTTTTTTGTATTTGTATTTATATTTGTATTCTAAGAAGGCAATTAAGAAATAAAAGCTTTCTCTCGGCAAAAATCACGGTCCACAAGTCTCTGATCATGTTTGTTTTGCTATACTCAACAGTAATAGGAAGGCATAAAAAACATTCAATAGAAACAATTTGTAGAATATCTAAGATCCGTAGACAACAAGTATCGAATTAGATGGAAGG